TTTGGTGGACAAGATAGGATAAAAACGGATATGATAAGAGAGTAGGATAAGGGTAGGATATGATATGGGCTGATAAGCCTGTATCATGTCTTGTGTTTGATGAGCACCTGATCAGCAATGTAATAAGATTATATTATCTTATCATGTGTTTGAGGGGAACCAGATATCATCAGGATATGATACAAATAGATTAAAATACCCTTTTTAACATAATGTCATATAATTTATCAAAAACTAATTTTTAAATTTTTTAAATTTATTTATACAATTCTAACAATGATAATTTTGAACAAAATATTTTTAATTAACTTTTTCACTCTCTTCAAGCGAGTATTTCCCTTTCTTCTTCCTTCAGCTCTGTTCCTTTCTTAAGTTTCTTTCTTTTGTTTCTTTTTTAAGTTCCATTGGCCAAATTTAATCACAAGAGGTTGTTGAGGATTCGGTCTCCACCGACCACCGCTTGAAGACTCTTCCTCTTCTGCGTTTTTTTTCTCCCAAATCTAAGCCGCCATAAATCTGGATTTTCCCCCCACTTGAATCGCTTCAATGGTGGAAACGTTTGTTTCCACTAATCTTATACGTTTACACGTCGATCCCAATCAGTTTGAGAGAAAAAACGATCTCAAGTACGATTCAGATCCTGTTGGGTAGCATGGAGATATATTGGGAAACCAATATTGGTCTCATGTCCTGTTGAATCTTTACCCAGCTCCCCCCATAGGATAAGAAATCATGTATTGGATAGGATAAAATGAGACAATAGGATAAGCGAATCATATTCTACTGACCCACCAAAAAAGAGATAAAAATAGGATATGATAAATTATCCTATCATATCTTCTTTATCAGGTGTTTCAAACAGGCCCTAAGGGTTTTAGGTTATAATTTGATTGAATATGATGTGATAGCAAATATATCATTTGTATTATTTTAAATATAGTCATTTACTCTTTTCCTCGAAAACTATCTTAGGAATATGAGAACCTCACATGCTTGTTGTCTGCAATCGATTACGACTATTAGGAATATGGCTTCCATACTCAAGAAAGAGTGAATTGAGTTTGACAAAAAGTTTACAATTGTCCCTTCTTGTTTCTAAATTATCTTCTTATTTAAATTTTGATATATGAAATATATTAAACCAACTCATAATACATACGCCCTCACAATAAAATAGAGTCATAGAAAGTTCAATAGTCTTTTGCTATACTATAGACTATCAATATATTCAACCAACTCATAATACATAGATAATCTATATTAGCACATACAAGATACCAAATAAGCATATAAAGTGCTATAAAATAAAGTTAAAGGTCTAAAAGATTGCAGGCATGATTTATCCTGGTTTACTCACCACCACTTGTAACTTATGTCCAAATTGCAAGCCGATTAAGTGTTTCTTCCACTATGGGTTAAGCTTCACGAGTGCTTGGAAACGTTACAATCCACTAAGTTTCATAAGTACTTAATAACCTTTCAACCACCAAGCTTCTTGAGTGCTTGACAATCTTTTTCAAATCCTCTAAGCAATAAACTACCTCTCGATCACTGAGGGTCTCATTACCCTTTAATTCAAGAATATAATGAGAAATTGATTTGGAATTGAATAAACTCTCCCAAAGTGTGGAGAATACAAATTGAAGCACTACGCATATATAATTTATGACAAGATGAGCTCAAATGATCAAATATGTGTTATGACTGTATGATCAATAGAATATTTCAAGAAAAATTGAAGGAATGATTGAATAGTGTTCAAGCTTGGTTGAATGAGTAATCAATGAGTATATATAAGTTTCTTATAAAAAATAATCATAGCTAGGTGTTACAACACTTATTACCTAGTTAGGATTCAAATCTTTTTCATGAGGGAGTTGACTCTGGCCTCAGTTTGTAGAAGAAAGAATTTGAATCCTTTGGTTCCAGAAGAAGAGATTTGAATCTTCATGGAATATTCAAATGTTTCTTTGACTGTAAGTGAAAATTGTAAAAAATACATTATTTTTTCACTCCATTTAACTTTTGAATTGGTCCCTAATATTATAAGAACATATAATTATCTATTGGAAATATATTCATAAGGTTAAACATGTTAAAATCATGTTCCATCTATCTTTGTAATATTTATCCAAAAATCTCATACACTTTCAAATATACAAATTGAAAATCACTTTGAACTCTTGCAATACAATATCGTGTATACCCTTAAATGTTAATCTAAATCCTAAAGGCATATTTCTCTAATGGTCTTGGATTTAGCTTCTTACATTGATTCTTGGATCTTGATATTCACTAGAGCTTGATATTGATTTGTTGGATTTGACGATATTTGTCACTTTGTTGGTCTTCATTCTTTTCATCATGACTTGTGATATTAAACTTATCTTGGAGATTGTTCATAACTTGTTGTCTTCAATCATTTTTTTGCTCTTCATCTTCTTTTTTCTTACTCTTGATCCATTGCTAACTTTCTTCAAAATGCATCCATGTTTTTGTCATTTTACTATGTCATTACTCTTTTTTGGAGTTGTATCATGTATTTTTATTTTTCATACATAGTTTTTCAAAACTTATAGTCGTGTATCTTTCGTGTGGAGTTGAGTTCTAATCTGGAATAAGAGTTCAGTTTAATAATTGTCTAAAAGGCTCAAATATAAAGGCGTAGTCAATAAGTGAACATATATATCATGCGTATATGCAATTCTGAAATACGCAGCTAGACTAACATCAACAAAGTACTCATAAGTCTCCTTAATAGCTAATGGCTAAAGGATAAATACAAGATTTCAATTAAGCCTATGCATTGTAGCCCACCAACAGGCATCCTGCAGACGAGATAGACTGACAAATCAACCTTAATCCACTAATAAAAACACATTCGCCATACTAAGGCTAGCAAGGCAACAAACATGTCATACAACTATTGTAAAAGAGAAACTCAAAACCCATGTATGATCACATTATTCTAATTTATTTAAGCTCATCACTCAAATATTGACTTGAGTATTAAAGTACCCTATAAGTACTCAGCCCATTTAAACACACTTCTACAACATCAACACCACGTCGGAAAGGAATCATCCCGTGTAGCTAAATAGCGGATCCCGTTGCAACAATTCAACAACCACCTCCATTGAACTAGGCCTAATTGTGTGTGAGTAGACTCAATCTCTCACACTAATCAAGTTCAACACCTCTTGTATGCAGGACTAATTGCAATAAATAGAAAATTAATTTAAAACATATTGAATTTGTAATATTTTGGGAAAAACGCATTAGCATAGTCAAAATGGCATATAGCATGTCAAATATATAATTATTTTGTTAGGGTTCGAATTCACTCCTTTTAGTATCTAAACCTGACCAAAAAAGAATGCATTTAAGTTTTTTTTTACATAAAAATATATTTAACTATAGTGGTTGGCATAAATTTGTGAACTCATTATCATGTATTGTTTAATAATTTATCTTGTATGTAATTCTCCTTTTTAATATCTTCTATACACATGTTATTATTTTATAAAAGCTTTCGATAAGTTCGATACTTCATTGTTTTTTTAAATCTTGATCATATTATATTTCTTTGTCTGCAATTCCTCATTCTTATTTTGTATTGAAGGTGAAACATGTTAAAGAGTTATACGAGGAATGAGAATAAGTAATAAAAAATCGTTGATAATTTTTTTTTTGAAGTTTTTTTTTTTTTTTTTTTTGATAACATTTTTTTTTTTTTTTGAAGTTTTAAATAAAGATAAATGAGAAAAATATCATGAAAACTAAGAATAAAGAGTGTGAATAAACATGTTAAAGTGCTAATTGTCCCACCTTTTTAAAGCCCTGGAGAAAATTAAGTGCATACGAAACCACTAGATCTTTTTTTAAAAAAAATTTAAGAGTCTTTTAGAGATAAAGAAAATTATAAAAAAATGGGCAAGATTTTTTTTTTTATCTGCTACTAAATTTTATGTTAGAAACTACATATCTTGACCGTGCATGGGTTATTTTATATTTTATATTTTTATTTTTAAGGAATTTTTTTAATATATTCTCACAACATTAGTTTTTTTTTTCTTATTAACAATTTCAACTTAATCTTGTTATACTCTTTAATTTCACTATTGTATTCAATGCTATACATATGAAAATATTACATTGAAGAAATTTTTTTGAGTGAACATTTTAAAGTAATCTAACTATATGATATCACAACTAATTGGTTAATTTTTTGTTGCTAATATCTAATTTATCTATGTTCTAATACCAATATCATTTTAATTTTACTTATTCATTTTTTTTTATTTCTCATTCCACAAATAATTAACATGCATTTATTTAATTGCAAAAAAGTACATTTTTAAAATTTTTATAATAATTAAATTAATTTAAAAAATGTAATTTTGAAAATTTTTATTTTAACATTTTTTAAGAGTAAAAAAATCGGGTTTGATGTTTGTCATTTTAAATGACACAAGTTATGTCAATTTAAGAGAGAGATAGACACAAGGAATAAAAATCATGAGAGAGAAAGTTATTGATTTTTTTTTAATTTAAATTTTAAATAAAAAATTTATTATGTGTCTATCTCTCTCTTAAAATAACATAATTTTATGTAATTTAAAATGACAAATACTTTTCCAAAAAAATCTTACTAAAATAGTTTTGAAAAAAATTATCATACGTAGCACTGATTAGATGTGGACCAAGATGATATTTAATATTTATTATCTATTTTATCTTACAACCTTTTAAGATGACCTGTTGAATTAAAATCAAATCAAAGATTCTAAAAAAATATTAAACAAAAATTATTAATTTGATTTTGATAAAAAATTAAAAAGATAATGGTAAAGAGGCAGTAAATATAGCTACTTAAAAAAAAAAAAAAAGAGGCAGTAAATATTATTTCACGCGTATATGTAAACGACAAAATATATTCATAATAAATATTTTTATTAAAAATTTAATTTGTTTTTATGACTCTGTACAAGAGATAACAAAATTGTATTTCCAAAAAAAAGATATAACAAAATTGAGATTGGGGACTAGCGCATGAGGGTGTAGTTTGGATTTGAAAAGCAGAAGAAGCACCGGTGACGGGTGAGAGTGAGAGAGATGGAAGGGGTAGATCTGAAGCGAGAGGGTATGGAGGATCTTAGTGGGCGCGTGCATCAACTTCCATGTTGCGTAAAATACGATGGTCCTGCTGCCTCTGTTTCCCACTATTTCAAACCCAAGCCCGCTGGTAAATTAATAATTCCCAACCTCATTCTCACTCTCACTCTCACTCTATGTCACCGAATATCACTTGCTAAGAGTTAGGGTTCTTTTTCCATAACTTTCTGCAGGCGTTGGGGACGACGGTTTACCATTACAACATGCGCATTTTAGGGGCAGGTTGCTACAAGGAACTACTCTCCAACTTCCTCATGGCTACTGTGGTATGTGATTCGGTGCAATTTTGAAATGTTTTGTTTATTCTTATGTTTTTAGTTTTGGTTTGAAACTAGAAACATGACCCAAATGCCACTTTTCATGGAATTATTTACCGAACTGCGATGCAAACATTAAATTTTCCCAAACTGTCATGTGTACAAGTATGCTGTAGTGGATAGCGAATCTGGTTGGCTGATGTGGGAGCTTTCTGGTGGCCACTTAGTTTGCTACTGATAATAATGAACTACGTGGTCAAAAAGTCAAAAAGTAACTCTGCTCTGCGTAGTGGTGGGACACATGGCAGCCCCACCGAAGTTCGGCTCAGCGAATTATGTGTAACCGTGAGGTGATGGTGATGGGGTGACACATACCTATCTTCTGAATCGACCAGCGACTCCCTCTTAATGTTGATGGAGTGAATGGAAGGGAGGGAATGTCGACTGCTTAACTGTCCACCACAGTTTACTTCCGCATACAGTTCGATAAAACTGGAGTTGTCTTGCTTTCGAAATGCATCTACTATTAATGTTACATCTTCGTCCTCTGCAATTTCCTCAACAACCCACTCCACTGGGTTACCCGAGGCGTATCTTGCAAACAATCGAGAGATAGATTGACTCCATTGTAATTTCAACTTCTTGTATATTATTTTCTTTAGGCTATTATAATTACACCGGGGGCTCATGTGAAACATCTTCGTATCTCCTTAAAAAACTTGACCATTCGGTCCAAAATATCTCCTCTCAAATATACAATAGCGGTTACAGCATTGCTACTATAGCTCATTATGTCAATTTGAAAATAAAACAAGTGGAAGGAAGAAGTAACTGAGGCTTCTTGAAAAAAAAAGCACAACTTCGATAAGATTTAAAGAAATGGAACATACAAAATGATGGGGGAGGGGGTTTAAATAACACTAAGTTCGCTGAATGTGATAGCTAACTTGCCACTATAGTTTGATGTACCCAGCGAATTTGTAGGTTGTTGCCATATGTCACTAAGTTCGCTGTACCATCAAGCGAACTTGTGAATGGTAGGTCACGTGGCATGAATGGCAGGTCACGTAGTTCGCTGTGCCAGTAGCGAACTTCTGTAAGGCTGCCAGATGTCCCACCACTGCAAGAGCAGAGTTACTTTTTGACCACGTAGTTCGTTACTGCCAGTAGCAAACTAGGTGGCCACCAGAAAGCTGGCACATCAGTCAACCAAGTTTGCTATCCACTGCAATGAACTTGTACGTGTGGCAGTTTGGAAAAATTTACTGTTTGCGTGGCAATTTTGTAAATAATTTCATCAACAGTAGCATTTGGGTCACTGTTTCTTGAAACGAAGGGTGTGACTTGTGATGCTGAACTTTGACTTTGAGACAAAGAAGTCTTCATCAATTGTTGCATTTTGAATGTTTACATGCTCAGATTAAATGGAGTGTGTTTGAAAATTTTCCTGACTCTGCAGGTTTTGTCTTAGGAAAGAAAAGTTTGCCTCACGCCTCTGAAGAAAACTCTCACTCTTGGGAGATGAATGCAACCTTTCATGACATAACGTATTGGAACCATGACTGCGTTCCTTGCCAGAATGATGACTTCTTGCGTGCTTTTCATTGGCTTACTGTTGCAAAAGCTGTAAGTTATCTGTGTTATATGTGATTTGGGAATAGAATTTTTGAGGCCCAGAAAAGAACTCTATTTCTTGTGCATTTTTGGTTCGTTGTGTTTAAAGGAATAAATTGCATACTTGATTACCGAGTAGAAATATGGAAGTTGACATTTATTAGAGGTGATTATGTGGATAATTTTTTAGACGTGCTGATTAAAATGATGTTTAATTGTTTCACAAAGATGAATTTTTTCGGGGTTGTCTTTCTTCATTATACAATCAGTGTGGATATAAATCATTTCAATGCTGTAAGGCGTACTGCAAAAAGTTGAGTTATTATTCAAAGTTTGTACCAATCACGTATTGTCAATGTAGAAATTATTTTTTAGTGTTAGCCTGAATCTTTTTAGGGGTTAATGTTTCTTATATTGTAGGAGATAATTTTATCTCCTACACATACACTTTTATGTGTATGTAGGAGATAAAATTATTTCCTACAATATGAGAAATATTAATCCTTTCTTTTTATGTTGTAACTTGTACTTTATGTAAATGTTGATGGGAGTGTGCATCTTGGATGTTCTTGTGGAGACAAAACTGTGACAAATAGGTTGGAGTGTGCTCAGCTGATTACCTCGAGGCAGTGTCTAGAAACATATCTTGGCCTCTTCATTTACGATTGTAAAACTTTATCCAATCTGTTTAGACATTTCGATTGGATGCATGTTAGGAAGATGAGAAAGGGGTAGCCCATGTACTATTGCATGCTTGGTCTCTTAGGCATGTCAGTTCTTGTTGGGTATTGGCTTCTGATTTCAGTTAATCCATCCAAGTGGGTGTACACCACGTCTCAACCCAAAACTTTAAAGTATTGGATTCATGAGTTCTTCCATTTATATGGACTTCACTTAGTCCATTATCAACAAAAAGACTTGTATTTAAATTATTCTGATTGCTGGCATCATTGATTGTGTTTATGACCCGAATATTGCAATTGCATCTACTAGTTGTAGCATATGACAGTTAACTTAATGATCCAAAAAGATGTTAAAATATGGAAATTAATGGTTTACTGCTAAATTATTTAAGGTTTCCTTACTAGATATTTGCTTGTGACTGCAGCTGCATAATCCTGTCACACCTGAGGAATTAGCTTCATCATCTATTGAACTCTAGAGGCGGTAGTACTCTGCGGTTGAAATGCTGTAGCTGTCATATTTTTTCAGCTAATTTATTGCTGCAGTATTTATGCTTTTGTTCTACGTTGTCTTCAATAGCCCCCATGTACTTCCCTCTTTGCAGTAATCTATTTGTTTTTCTCTATGTGAAATTGTGAACACAATTTGTCAATATATATATGGGTTTTGTTTTTTTACTGTAGCAGAAGATAACCAAATTTTCCTGCACATAGAAGCAAGTTGGGTCCTACTAATTTTTGTAAAAAAAAAAATTAAAAAACATTAAGCACGTTTTACGAGCTGAGAGTGACATGATATAAACAATTTACTGCAACAGAAGAATACATTTGTAAACATGCTATCTCGAACAACTCATCATGTTTAGTCTCTCTCTACTCTCTAGTACGTACACCCATCAGAATCGCATTTGTAGAGACAGAAAAGCAAAGATGAGCTCGAATACCTGAAAGACAGAAAAGCAAAGATCAGTTCCTTGAAAAATATTTATCTATCAGGAGCCAGCTCCATTATTTTTATTTTCTTCCTTTCATTATTAACGACTCGTGTTAACTTCCTTTACCTCGTTTTAGCAGGAAAGGAATATGCTAACTATGTTATACTACCACCAGTGTCTCATCGTAGCTTTTTCAGAACAATGGCTTACGCATATATAGACGGTTCTGTCATTTGGAACTAATAAGGGGACGTGCCGATAGGAATTAGGACTTATTAAATATACTTTTTATTCTCCCATCAACAACTAAGTGGCGTGTTGCAATTACAAAAAGCCTTGATAAAATAAAACAATTAATTACTCCAGTACTTTAAAAAAATGGCGCATGAGGGATACTGCCAATTTGGAAAAAATTTACGTGATGGCTTTTTGGGCAAATTGGAAAATGGTGAGCTAAGAAGGATAATCCTCTTTATAAACAATTATAATCTAGTAAAATATTTCAATTCCCAAAGTTAAAAATATCAAGTGTCATTAAGCACTGTTTGATTTTGTTTAATTTTTAAATAAGCCGGATTAACATTCGTGCAAAGTACGGAATTATACAAAAAAAACTAAAAGATTTTAAATAAATGTTCCGGGTAAAAGTTTTATTTGTTTAAGGCGAAGGCTAAATAATTAGCACGAGAAGCACAAAAATTCTAAGGCCCACAGTGAAAACAGAACAAAATTGTGAAAGCCCAAAACGAAAATAAAAGAAATTGTCACGATATATGAAATGTAAAGTGTCCCTAATGATGTGAATAACGAGAAGATTGTAAAGCTATACCATCTCTGCCTTTATCCACAGCCACAAGGTGTGCTTCAACATCTTTGCCTGAACCTCTGAAAGATGGCGTGTTTGACAGTTACGGTGTCGTTTGGCTTCAGACCTATACCATGCTCTTCTTCTTCTTCTTATCGTACCCGTGTTTCTTACGGCTCGGTTCGATTCCCTCTACTGAACAAGACCAACTCAGTGGAGCTCAGTTCGTCAGCTAGCATTTCTGCTCCAATTCTTCAACAAAAGCTCTGCACCGTTACTCCTCCTCACCTTCTAAGGCTTCACACTCTCACCATTGTATCTCATAAAGGCTACAAAATGAAAACTCACAAGGTCCCTTGCTTTTTGTGAATTCGGGTTAATGCTTTTTATTTGAACTGTGAATTTGAATTGGCTTTCGTTAATAGGCATCGGCAAAGCGATTTAGGGTGACGGGTCGAGGGAAAATAGTGCGTAGGAGAGCTGGAAAGCAGCATTTGCTCTACAAGAAGAATACCAAGAGGAAATTGCGACTCTCCAAAATGGTAGGATCACTTTTTAACTTGATTAATACTGAAAATTATATTTTGTTTATTTTTATCATCCTCAGAGGCTTCTCCTTATTAAACTAAATTCTTTGGTTTATTTGAATGATCTTGTGGGATTACTTTTTTTTTTTTTTTTTTTTCTTAACATAATTTGATCTGTCAATTGTTGATCATATTTAATTAATTATTAAACATTTATGGTAAAATCATGTAGGGGAACATTGGCACAACTGGGTTGTATACTTGTGTTGTTGCCATGTAACTCTGCGCTTAGCGGGAGTTTTGTAGCACCAGATTGCTTTTTATTTTTTATTTTTTTTAATGGTAAAACCAGCAACCAACAAATGTTGACAACTCACAACTTTCTTTGCTTGTGTGGACAAATATGTGACTTTCATTCAAGTCTAATTTCACCGGCAACAATTGCTGGATTGGGATGCTTTTTTTACTGATCATAATAAATTACTGATAGCCATAATTATGGATTTGTTTTCTTTGACTATAAGCATACTGCTTTGGCTACCAAATAGCTTTAAAGATGTGAAGTTCAGTTTAGAATTTATAGCTTGTTTTGTATAGTATGTGTTTGCTTTTTCCTCTAGCTTTATATCCTTGGGAGAAGATTCTTTCTGACTTATTGCTTGCTATGCTTTCAATCCGTTCTTTGTTTGCTGGATTTCTTTTGGTGTTGTTGACTCTGTTAGTTGGCATGTGAAGTCCGTTTATCCTAATGGTATGTTAGTCCTATACCCTTTCTTATGCAAGAGTATGTTAAGACTGTTTTACAAGCAGTTGGGTAGGATTTTGCTGTATAATTGGTTGTGCAGAGGGTTCATTTTACTTGTTTAAGCAGGGTTCCATTCTGTTAAAAAGGTTCTTCTGTTACTTTTGATCTCAGTAATTTGATAACCTTTGACTTCATTACTAGATGTCTTAGTAAACTTCTTTTCTTTGGGTTGGGGTTGTGAGAATAGAGGAATGGGGGGTGATTTTTGGGCATAGTATCAAAAGTTAGGATAAATTCCGTCTCCCAGCCTCCACTCTTTCTTTTTGTTATATGACATGAGGATGAAGAGGTGATTATGATATCAAAACATCTGCATTTACGTAACCCCAACAATGTTTATATGTTAATACCTGAAAGCAATGTTGATCTTATGCATTAATATTAAGGATAAAGGAAGTATAACAAGTTCAAAAGTACTAAGTTTAACTTCCCCCTCCATTTCCTATGGAACATCAATTATCTTATAATTGAGTTTGGTCCTTAATCTTTTTTATACCTCTCTCAACGATTTCTAATTTTGTGTAATACTACTGTTAATATTTCACCACATACCAAGATCATATCAAGAATTCACATTTCTTGTTTCTTATAAAGAGACTTTGTTATGGGTTTTTGGTCAGGTAATTATTGTTTAGAATCTGGAATTTACTTATTTTTGCACTCAGCAGGGGTTGTTGTTAAAAACTCTGTGTAACGGGCCATTCTGTTCAGAAGTAGCTATTTGACTTCGAGTGATCTAAATACTGTGTAATTTAAACATAGAGTAAACCATCAATTCGGTCCTTTAAATTACATTAGCCTTCCAAATATTTTTGTCTCCAAATTAGTCATTTTTAGATGAGCATGTCACCACATTAGTTTTCAAAAGATTTTTGTCCCCAAATTAATTAATCAAAGATACAAATAGTTACTAAATTTGTCTCTGTGTGTCACCAATTTAGTCTTCCACAAGGAAGAAAATCTTTGGAGGACTAATGTGGTGACAAGCTAAATTTTAAATTACTGATGACAAAATTTTTTGTAGGACCTATGTGGTAACACACGAATCTTTGGAGGACTAAATTAAGAGTTTACTCTTAAATTTATCAATTTAAAGATTAAAGCATAGATTGAATTTGATATGTATGAAAGTCAGCCTTATGGGGCATCTGTATTTAAACCGTGTCATTCATTTTTTGATTCTCCACATCTGTGAATTATGACTTGCACAGGCAAAGTAACAGACTCATATATGTCACCCAAATGCCTTGAGTGTATTCCAAGTTGCACCTTTTCTATGGTCATTTCAAAACCTTTTCTATGGTCTTGAGTGTACTAAATTTTTTTCTTATTAATTAATATGAAGAGCTAAAATACAGCCAGCTATGAAATGCACGTATCAAAGTGAAGTCATATGGAACTTGGTAAACTGATTGAAATTATCAGTTGAAGTGATGAACTAATGTCACTGTTGTGGCATTCCAATTGATTGCTTTGTAAGGGATAAAATGAATATTACACTCATTAGAGAAATCCAGTAATTGGATTTCTTCTCGTGTTGAATTCGGGACTTCTACCAAACCCACATCCATCCCAAAGGTAATTGGATTTCTAGAATTATGCTAAATATCTGACTTGGATTCAATTGAAATGTTGCATTTGACTTGTCAGTTTTTTATACAGGAAATCCCGTCTCTGAAATTTTCTTACTCTGGTCTGAAACTGTTTGAATGAATAAAGTTTTGGCTGGGTTTAGATATATACCTCTGTGTGTGTAATTGAATTAGAATATGGGATTGGCTTTCTAACTCTTCTTCTTTTTTTGGGTGATGCACAGAGCCAAGTTGACAGGGGTGATTATGACAATGTTATTGGAGCCATGCCATACTTGAAAGTAAACAGACTAGCTCAATAGATTTCACGTTTGCAAATCTGAGTCTAAAGCCTAGCTCGTGACGTCTCCAATATGCTTTTACACCATCTGAAAATTGTTTTATTTTTCATATGAATTAAAGTAGTTTTTGCTGATTGAGATATAAGTACCTCATGAAAATGGTGGTACGCCTTCCTGTATCGTGTAACAATTGGTATTTATTGTCATCATTGTATTGTAACTTGTATTTACTTTTTACCATCTTCCAGTGTAGTTTGCAATTGTTTGCAAGCTATGGTGAATTATGTGATCATCATAATCTATTCCGTTAGCTAAGATTTAACACTATATAATGGATAATGTAAAACTTAGTTCATTAGTTAAGATTAACGTGACATGATGGATAATTTAAAAATTGGATCGATTAGTTAAGGTTTAGCATTATATAACGGAAATTTGAAATTTGGTGATCCAGTTAGTTTTGGTTTAACATTACATGATTAATAATCTGAAACCAGGTCAATTAGTTAAGATTTATTGATAATTTGAAACTAGGTCGATTTGTTAAGGTTTATTGTTATATGATTGATAATTTGAAACCGGTTTCATTAGTTAAGATTTAGTGTTGCATGATTGATATTTTGAAATCAGGTTATCTTTAAGTTTAAAATTATGCAAAAACAAATATACCTATTATTAATATTTTGCAACACTCTTATCTTTTGATTTTCTTTTAAATCATTTAACTAGTGAATTACCCGTGCGATGCCCGGGGGAAAAAGAACAAAATCGTTGTCGCCGTCGTTGGTGTGTCGTCTTACTGGTAAATCCACACGTTGATCTTGATATGAAACTCTTAATAATAATATCATAATAAAAAATAATTGTATTGTTATAATTTTTAACTTGAAAAGGCGGTAGCATTCAGAAAGATAAAAAAGTAAAATAAAATTTTGTAGGATGAAACGTTTAATTGTATCGAGTAACCTTCACGTCCAATTGCAAAAGTGATAAATAGAATAATGTCAATGTAAAAACAATTTAAATGTCATAATGTCAAAACTGCTCACAATTAATAATTCACAAATAACATGATACAATTCGGTGTTCTAGCAAAATATCTCTGACATCAGCCTGCTAACTATAAAAGAAATATTGTCAGAAGTATTATTCAATGTGGTTTTTTGCTTTTGAATTTCAGAATCATATTTCAAAAATACAGTATAAAAATAATCAAAATCCAACGCTAATCAACATTTGAAAAAAATATAACTTAAGGAATGCAGATTTTACCTGTACCAAAGAGCAACGTTATATCCAATCGATTGAAGCAATATAAATTACAGTAATCTCTAAAATACTTCTTTGTAGACTATGTTAAAGGTACTGTTTGTTACACAACCATCATCATCAACTATCAAAATCTTCAATCCCTTTTTGCTCTTTACTCGGGATAGTGCCACATATAATTGCCCATGACTAAAGACTGGCCTGGGTAGATAAATTCCAACATGAGAAAGCGATTGTCCTTGACTCTTATTGATTGTCATGGCAAATGAAACGACGAGGGGAAATTGTCTTCTTTGGAAATTTACAGGAAAAGAATGACTTGAGGAGCTCATTGTCATTCTAGGGATTAACACATTTTCTCCTATATTGCTTCCTGTAAGAACAGTTGCCTCAACCACATGATTGCCTAATCTTGTAATAAGCAATCTTGTTCCATTGCATAAACCTCTTGATTGGTCAATATTTCTTAATAGCATGACTGAAACTTTGACCTTCAAAATTAATTTATGATCCGGAAGCCCAGAACAGGAGAAGGTATTTAAGATCTCAGGTGAGAATTCATCATCCTCAAGGGAAGAATTACCGTCTTGCTTCAAAATATTATCTTAACTTAAATATATTCTTTCCTCACCTGGAATCAAAGACATTAAGTTCTCATTTAAAATAGAAACATCTGCCAATTTTGGAGTCAGAATGGCGCGTTCTTTAAAGAATGTGGGTTCTAAAATATGATCCAAGATATCAGGATACACAAAATCCATCAAATCTGAAAGTGGATTCAATGATTTTTTAATCAATAGTTCATCTGGAATTGTTATAATAGATTCTCCATCCACATCATCTCCAAGAACACCATCCCCGACTTTCAGAAGCCAATCAGAAAATTCCTTTATTTCCATTAAATTGTGAATGCCACTTCCAGAACTAAGCCGCATGTTCTCGGTCAAAGTTAATAAATGACAATGAGACCAAAGACAAGAAGAATTAATGGTTGCATGGACTATATCTTGTCTGCTTCCATGAGGAACAACAGGTAAGATTTGCCTGAAGTCACCCCCAAGAACAACAACTTTCCCACCAAATGGTTTATCAACACAACTTGAATCAGAAAATATAAGAACATCTCTAAGTGTTTTGTCTAGAGCCTCGAAGCAAAATCTGTGTACCATTGGAGCTTCATCCCAGATGATTAGCTTTGTTTTCGCCAGCAATTCGGCAATATTAGAATCCTGTAGTATATTACAGGTTGAATCCTCAGTGATCTGAATTGGAATACGAAATCTAGAGTGTGCTGTCCGGCCTCCAGGAAGAAAAAGTGATGCAATCCCGCTAGAAGCAACATTAAGTACAATTTCGCTTTTTGATCTAATGGATGCTGACAATGTATTCCAAATAAATGTTTTTCCTGTACCACCAAAGCCGTACAGAAAAAAGAATCCCCCTGTACCCACTGAAATTGCTGAAATTATCTTGTCATAGACAACTTTTTGCTCATCTGTAAGGGAACTCAGTAGTCTTTTATGTTCTTCAACCAAAAACAATCTGTCATACAGTAATTCATCAAGCACTAAGCGATTGTGCATGCATTGAAGGGTAATCAGAAAGGCATTTTCCATTACTCTGTAGCACTTTATCAATTCCAGCAAGTGTTGTGTTTTTTATTTGTTCTTCAGTAAGATTTGCATCTGTAGAAACGTGGAAAACAATGAAAAAATGACAATTGAAAGTATAATTCTAACAGGACTCATGGTACATTATTTTTACCACAAACAGCGGTATATTCAACAGAAAAAAATAATGATAAAAAAATTATAATGCATACGATATGTTCATAATGAATACCTGGATGTCCTACTGTTGTTCTATGTCGATAAAGAACATCGTCAGAATGCGCAATTTACCTTCACATTGGAATTGGACATCTCATCTAATGAGTCAGCTGATTTAAAATTTGGAATTTTGAAATGGAATCACTCACCTGTTTTAATGACTCAGCTGTTTTTACATTGGAATTATTAAATATTTTAAAATACAAAAAAGCGGACAATTAATTTTTATTCAATTAATTTTTTTGATTTTTCTTTAAAAATCAAAAATCAATTTTAATTTCTAATAATTTAAAACAAATATGGTGGCAGACAAAGCATTTAATGTGCCACTTACCTTCACATTGAAATTGGTCATCTCATTTAATGAGTCAGCTGATTTAAAATTTCTAATAATTTAAAACAAATGAGGTGGCAGACAAAACATTTAATGCGCCAGTTACCTTCACATTGGAATTGGTCATCTCATCTAATGAGTCAGCTGATTTAAAATTTTGAATTTTGAAATGGAATCACTCACCTGTTTTAATGACTCAGCTGTTTTTACATTGGAATTATTAAATATTTTAAAATACAAAAAAAACGGACAATTAATTTTTTATTCAATTAATTTTTTTGATTTTTCTTTTAAAAATCGAAAATCAATTTTAATTTCTAATAATTTAAAACAAATGTGGTGGCAGACAAAGTATTTAATGTGTCACTTACCTTCACATTGAAATTGGTAATCTTATTTAATGAGTCAGCTGATTTAAAATTTCTAATATTTAAAACAAATGAGGTGGCAGACAAAACATTTAATGCGCCACTTACCTTCACATTGGAATTGGTCATCTCATCTAATGAGTCAACTGATTTAAAATTTTGAATTTTGAAATAGAATCACTCACCTGTTTTAATGATTCAGCTGTTTTTACATTGGAATTATTAAATATTTTAAATATTTTAAAATACGAAAAAAACGGAAAATTAATTTTTTATTCAATTAAGTTGTGGTGTAAAATTTTGAATTTTGAAATGGTATGACTCACCTATTTTAATGACTCAGCTGTTTTTACATTGGAATTATTAAATATTTTAAATATTTTAAAATACGAAAAAAAACAGAAAATGTCAATAGCTCCTCGTTAAAAAAAATCGACCAATCTACCGTTTTTATTGGCATTTATTAATTTGTTTAAAAATTTAAAAGTCCAACACACTAATTCGAAATTCAGGGGAGCATTAAAAATAACTTCAAACGAAACGTCAAGCAATTACTAATAATGAAATTAATTGTTAACAATTGGTATAATGGGGAATTTCAAATGACATCCTTTTTTTTTTTGGAAATATTTCATCGGTTCATCGCTTCGCGATTAGTCCGATTCGGGGCGGGTCCAGGATTAAGGCTTTAAACCCCTCCCAAAAGTGGTACTGGGGAGATTCGAACACATGCCCTCACCCCCACCTGCTCAGCTCCCATGCGCCAACTGAGCTACCACCATTTGGTTTCAAATGACATCCCTAAAACTGAAACACGTCGTACTAAAGAAATTCACACGTCGTACTAAAGCTGATAACAAAATATTAAAAGAATTTTTTTTTGCAAACTTTGTTAAAAATGAAGAAGCGGAGTTGATATCAAAATATTTAAAAACAAATATTAAGGCCTTGGTACACTGTCAAAGTTCAACACATGATAATAGGCAACAGAATAAGGAAAATGTCAATAGCTCCTCGTTACAAAAAATCGACCAAAGCATAGTTACAGATTTTCTTTCTGCTCCAAAGTGTCACCGGCTGCCGCATCAAAACTGTGCCAAAATAAACAAAAAGGCACACAGAATGAGAGGGATGAAATTATAAATCACGTAAACTTTATGATATCTATAGTCAGAACTTTATAATATCTATATCACGTAAACATAATTACTATATCGAAGAGAAGTAAGTTTTCAAGACATCCTCTAGTGTGAACAGAAAGCTGAGATTTAAGGAGAATGCGACACCTCAGCTAATTTTCAAAAGTTTTTTTTACATTAAAACGGAAAGAATCCTCTAGTGTGAACAGAAATTCAAACATACATATTTTGTTCACTATATCGAAAATAAGTAAATTTTCAAGACATCCTCTAGTGTGAACAGAAAGCTGAGATTTAAGGAGAATGCGACACCTCAGCTAATTTTCAAAAGTTTTTTTTACATTAAAACGGAAAGAATCCTCTAGTATGAACAGAAATTCAAACATACATATTTTGTTCGCTATATCGAAAATAAGTAAGTTTTTATTACAAAAAAAAAAGTAAGTTTTCAAGACATCCTCTAGTGTGAACAGAAAACTGAGATTTAAGGAGAATGCCACACCTCAGCTAATTTTCAAAAGTTTGGTTCTCCTTTCTATATAGTAAGATAAGATAAGAAGTGAGGAATGACATTTTCAAAAATAAAATGCATAATAAATAAAGAAAAAAATATGTGTCATTATTATTTGTGTCATTTTAAGTGAAATTATTGTATTTTGGTGAGGAGAGAGAGAAAAAATGTATTGTAGATAAAAGAGAAGTAAATTTCCAACAAAATATAATAATTTTACTTAAAATGACATAAAATTGTATATTTTAAAATAACAAATATTTTTCCCATAAATAATCAGTTATAAAAAATTATTTTTGTTTGAAAACCATAAAAAATCATTTTAAAATTTTATAATACAAGACTTATGCACCATTCTATAATATAATAAAGTTTTAAGAATTTTATATTTTGAAAATGCAAAGGTACGAAAATAGTCTCTGTGAATTAACATGAAAGCATAAATTTTTTATTTCTTGATTATGTTCTCAAGAAGTTATTTATATCAAATAACGTTATTTTTTAGTAATATAATATAAGAATGTAGTTAGCCCATAGCATAAGAAGGTAGAAAATAATATAAGAATGTGGAAAAGATGAAAAACGTTTATCAATCAAAAGCCGGTAATGAATTGAGCAAGCCAAACGAAGCCCTCGCCGTCTTGGGAAAGAAAGTAGGGACCCACATATATCCATCTCTGAATTCACTTATTTTCAGCAATTAAAAATTTTCTATAATTAAAATTTTTTGACGGATCATTGACTCGCTCACGTAGTCACGTGCATTTCTCTGATCCCCTAATCTTATGTAAAAAGCATTTCAATAATTAAGATGAAGCAGAATCTTTTAATACCTGTTTCAAAATTTCAAATTTGGTATCAAATTTTAACATATTTGTTAATTAATGGTTATAAATTTTGTCAATCCAATTTATTAATTGATTATTAATTTTTAATAAATAATAATCATTGATTGACAGAAATTAATAGTTAAATTTTAATATCAAATAATTCTATCTTAATTAAGATTATTTGACCAATTATATATTAAATTTTTTATTTTATCCAAGACAATTTTTATAAGAAGTTTTTTAAAAAAAATAAAAATTTAATAAGTTCAAATTTTACAAAATCCAATAGACAGGCTTATAGAAAATGAAGCCTATATATTTGTAAAAAAGGCTATACTAACCTAACAAGTTCTGTTTGTTGAGAAATTGCTTAACAATCAATTGAATTTTGATACAAAAGGTATATAATACAAATTTATAGTCCCTGCCGCCCATGCCCCCATAAATTCATAGAACATTTCAAATTTCTCAAATCCAAAGCCTCCTCATTCTCCTCTTCTTGGTTGTTATTCTTTTTCTTGTATATTATCTTTATTCTAATATTTTCTATCACTTTCTTGTACTAATTGAGTTCTAATCAATTTTATTTTGCTGGAAAATTTGATGGTCCAGCCAATGGATTCTTCAGGGAACTTTCGTTCACACAATGAAGCAGCGTCATGCCATGACAAGTTGGAGAATGAAGACCCAGCACAAGAAGAGCATGCCTCTCTGAACAAGCGCTTGAAACTTTCATCAGCAGCTTCACAAGAGGTTTGTGATTTTTATTTTTTTTTAAGTTGTCCCTTAAGAAAGAGACTGAAATTATAGCAAATTTTTGTGAGGCGGTGTTCTTTTTTATATTTACTGTTGAGAAAGACAAGGAAGAATGTGATCTTTTTAAAAAAAAATAAAAAAAATACCATTTTAGTTAGCAATCAAATGATGTGTTATGGCGTTTCGATATGGAACAAATTTTCGGTGCAAGTTGAGTGCGACAATAGTGCATTTTTATTAGGATACTTACGTGGATTTTGCACAAACTTTTAGGACCTCATGAACCATCTCTATATCCTAATAAAAATGCACTACCGTCGCACTGAATTCAGTGCAACTATAAATTTTTTCGTTGATAGGATGATATATATTGTGTAATAATTATGGTTCTATTTGTAAGTGTGATGTTTTATATTAAATTTTTATTGGGGAATGAATGCCTAAGTTGATCTCGGTTATTATTTTTTGGTTTTTTACTTTTAGGATTTTTTTTTAAAGGTCTTGCTATCTTGGTGTCAATATTTTATATTAGGGTTTTATTTTTCTTATGTTACATGAGACAAATTGTTTCATGCAATACAAAAAAAAATAAGTGGGACCCGCTTCTTTATTTTCTCTTTCTTTCTTTTTAGTGGGTCTCACTCATTTTTTGTGTGTTGCATGAGACAATAAGAAAAATAAAACCCTTTATATTAATACCTCTTATGAAATGACGGCATGGGTAGTGTTCCTTTGGTCAAATGCCTCGTTGAGCATACACTCAACTTTGACAATATATGTTTTTTTGTCATATAGACACGCTTCTATGGTTTTATGAAACTGGTGTCTAGCTCGTACAAGTTTTTTATGGTAAAGTTGTTGCCTTTAGAGTCAGGTTATTCTTGACAGAAGTAATATATAGCTGAGGTTATAGAACATGCATTTTGATTACAAGAGCAGAAAAAAAGTCCTTATATTACAGTTTTACTTTTTTTTTTTAAAGATAATATGTTTAATAATGTTCACTTTTGTGAATTTGTTTTCTCCTTGTGCATGGTATTACAAATTGTTTAGCAATGGAATGCCTCAAATGACACATCTTTCCGTTCTCCTACCAAATACAATATACTTAATGAGCCTAGCCCTTTGGGTTTACGTCTGAGGAAGAGCCCTTCACTTTTAGATTTGATACAAATGAAGCTTTCTCAAGGGAGCATGTGTCTTGCAAATACACATAATGAAAGCTTAAGCTCAAGAGTGAAAAAGGAGAGTCGTGGTGCTGCTGCATCAGGTTCTGTTGACAAGCTTAAGGCTTCAAATTTCACAGCTTCACTTTTAAGAATTGGTTCATGGGAGGTATATTCAGGATACTCCATGTCTTGTTAGTTTTGGGAAATTTATTTTTCCATGAATTTAGCTTACCTCAAAATTCTCTTTGTGACAGTTTAAATCAAGATATGAGGGCGACTTAGTGGCAAAGTTTTACTATGCTAAACAGAAGCTTGTTTGGGAATTTCTTGGATGTGAACTAAAGAGCAAAATTGAAATCCAGTGGTCAGATATTGTGACACTTAAGGCAAACTGTCCTGACATTGGACCTAGCTCATTGACTGCAGTGGTAATTTATCCCCCTACTTTTCTGTTTATGTTAGCTGCTTTAATAGTTTTTTAACATGCAAACACCTACACATGGGTAAGCATTCAGTGTTCATTTATTTATTGGTGAGTTTCTGTTTGGTGCAGCTTGCTAGACAGCCTCTTTTCTTCAGGGAGTTTAATCCTCAGCCTAGAAGGCATACAGTCTGGCAGGCAACGTCAGATTTTACTGATGGGCATGCTAGCAAATACAGGTATATTATTTTTACAGTTATCCTCTGATATGTGGATCTGGGCTCAACCGTTATGCATTGGTTCCGATTGAAAGTTATAGTTTCACTGATTTATCATAATTCGGGCAGGAGAACCAGCATTCAATTTAGCCACTATAAAAAATTAAAGACTGATTTCCAATTGGACGTCTGAGAATCTTATCAGATAGGAGCAAGGTTGCTCATTGAAATAATTGAGGAAGAGAGGTCAAGTTGCATTTGATGGCTTTAGAGGAGTCCTTATGTACATTTTAAAGCATTTATAGTGAATAGTAGTTTTTATTGTGAGATTTACTTGATTAAATTTGCTACTTTTTATTTGCATTGGGTTGACAGTTTGGTACTATATGTTTAGATCTTATGCACTTAAATTTAGTTGGTCGTGATGTTTGGGAATTCCATCTTTTGGCTTTGTAGGCAGCACTTTTTGCAATGTAGGCAAGGGCTGTTGACCAAGCATTTTGAAAAGCTTATGCAGTGCAACACACATCTTAATTTCTTAAGCCAGCGACCACAGATGATTTTGAATTCACCACCTCGTTTCGATACACAGCCTGCTGCTTTTGAGAACTCTGACAATCCGAAATATCATGATTTGCATCAAGTCAATGGTAAAGGATCTGCCACATCTTGTTTTCAGGACATAGGGTCACTCCATTCATCCCTGTCACCGTCATTTAAGATTGAAAACAATGATCCTCCTGGCATTACCTTGGATTGTCTGCCCCTTGAAGCACCTTCTCCTAGTTCAGGTATTATAAGGACTTGGCTCTTGTTTTGATTGCCCTGTTCATTGGCCCTTTTGTTTCATTCATCAATTCAACCGCCCCCCAAAAAAATAATAATTAAAAATAAAAATTCCCTAAGAAACAGAGAGCATGAGTGTGTTTAAGAGAGAGAGAGATTCATATGTGGTATTCATAATATATATCTTTCGCGTTTGCAAAATGCATTTTTCTCTTGCAAACATGTTTGCTTTGCTTGCTGGTCAATGTTTAAGCATTTATCAATAAAGAATGAGCTGTCATTTTAAAAATTAAGTAGGAGGTGGAGTTCTGCCTTTAGTTATAAATCTGCCATCTTAGGATCATGTTCTATTAACAGCCATGAAACTAATTATGACATAAACTTCAAGAAAACTTGTATTGTGAATTAGTTACTTCAAAGACCGGAAGTAAAATATAAAATGACATGGCTTGTGGTAGCAAGTAGCTGTGCAGTGTTGACAGATTCTGAAATTCTCCTCCAGCATTTGTTAAATATGAATATGATTATAAAAATCAACGATGGCTCAGAAATCTATAACTGTTGTTCTAACATGTCAATCTCTTCATTAGTTCAATATGCTTAGCTTGCTGAATAGCATCATTGTCACATCTACTCAAAACAGGATGAAAAATTGTGCATAACATTTATATTTATCAAATAATATTGGGCTTGGAACTTACCACATTCTGTGCTGGATGTTTTCCATTCCAAATGCAGCTTCATATGTTTATGATCTTACAAATGTGCATTTAGATTTTCCATGTCTATCTTTCCTTTATATTCCAATTGGATATGATGTGTATTTCATCATTACACATTCTGTCTATATAGAATGTACATGGCTTCATAATGGTGTGCTTTTATTTGTAAATATCTAAAGTTGTTGGTGGTTTTAGATATAATCCGGATTATAATCCGGGTTGGTGGTTTTAGATATCTAAAGCTGACATTTATCTGCATGTGGTGTGCTTTGTATTAACTTATTGTTTTGTTTGTCTTTAACATAAAAGTCATGGACTGTCATGCAATTGAAGGGAATTCAAATTCTGAAACTGATTCCAAGGGCCCAAGAGATTGGGATCAGATAAAACTTCCTGGACTCCGCCCTTCTATGTCAGCAAGCGATTTTATTAATCAGGTTGAACGTTGTCTTTCTGAAGAAATGACTCCCTTTTCTGGTGGAGGACCTGAGTACAAGGAAATGTTGGACGACATTGCACAGTATCTGCTTAGTGACAATCAGGTTACAGCTTCTGATGAAGAATCACTCATGTCAAGGGTCAATTCTCTCCGCTGTCTTCTGCAGAAGGACCCTGCAGCTGTGCTGAATTCACATGAGGAAAGTGCTGTTGAAGGACCTGATAATGGGAAAAACATTCAACTTAGCCATGATCTTGAATTAATGCAGGACAATAAAATTAAAATAGATGTTAAGACTGCTCAAAATGACTCGAGACGGTTCTTGTGGTAAGCAGGCACCAGGCATGTCGAGAGTTGCTTCATCATCTTCCTTGAATTGCTTCTCTTTCAAAGTTCTTGTTTAACATAGAAGAAAAGGATGGTGACAGTTAAGCCAGATAGTTTTTCTTATGTCCTGGATTTCAAAATGGCCAAGAATGGAGCAATTTAGCCGTGTCAAGATGCTTGAAACACTAGGATTTGGAAAATGTTTTTAATGAAGAATCCTGGGAGAGCCAGGGCATAAACTGTTAATAGGTGCTTTAACTCTATTTTGGTCTTTCCTTTTGGTTCTCGTATTTAGTTCTCTGCATGTAAGTAAATTTTTTTCTACCTAGGTTTATGGTTTTAGATACTTTAATGGCTTTCTTAAGATGAGATTTGCAGGGTTTTTTTTTTAATTTTTCTTTTTCCTAAACACTGATCGTTTGAAGGAACAAATTTCCTCTGAAGTTTAGTGCGACAGTAGTACATTTTTACTAGGATAAGTAGATGGATCCTATACAAATTTTTTAGAGCCCAGAATCCGCCTACATATCTTAGTAAAAATGCACTATCGTCACACCGGATGCATCTTAAAATTTTTGAGGCGATTTTGTCCGAGGTTAATTGAATTCAAATCATAGGTGAAAATGAATCTCACATGCCTTTATTAATATAGATACAACTTTCATTATTATTTGAACTCTTAAAAAAGGTTATTCTTTTTCACTATTTATTTATTTATTTTTCTCATCTCTTATTATCATTAATTGATGTATGAACAATTGATTTATCTCACACCTTTTTCATTGTAAATGAGACAAAAATGGTTAATTTCATTTCACACCTTATGTTAAATAAAATGTGATTACTTTTAAAATTCTTGCTGTTAATAATACCCTCATCTTTTCAAGGTTGAACTGTTATACAAGATATCACCAAATATGTTCTATACCTTATACCTAATTTGACCAGATTTGATAGCGTGTAAATCCAAATCCAAATCCAAAGATATGCTAATGCCTAATGTGTCAGTGTCGGGGTACTCTGACCTCGGACCATCTGGCTTTTATGAAGCCTAATGATGATTTGGAAAACATTGCTTACCGAATCATAAGTGGGAACTTAAGAAAAAGAACACCGAATGTCCAAATAAACAAGCGCTAAATAATATTCACAGTTTGTACAATATCATAAAAAGGTAGAAATATGTACAAAGGGGAGAGATTGAAAGAGAATGGGTTCATCAGCTGCACAAATGGTTAACTTGTTGATCACCCATGAAGAGCATTAGGACTTTGAATGTTGTTTTTTATGTACAATTGAATTCTTCCATCACGTCTAATCTGCCAGGACGATGCAGGATCAGGAAGTAGAGGATGAATGAATAGTGGTATCAGGTAACATGGCTACAGTCACTAGGAAATATTCACAGCCAACAGGGAGACCATATGGGTTTGGAGTTGATCCTGAATTCAAGGACAACCACTCAGTCCCCTTTTCTGCCCTACCATGTTCGGGCACTGCCTTCACAATTTGGCGTTCAATATGCACAATTTGTCCAACAATGTAGTTAGGTCTGCTTGGAAGATGGTCTGCAAATAAGGCCACAGATTCAGTAGATAAGTAGTAGTTAGAGCAGTTCCTACTAATTGCCTCATAATGCCCAGCTGGAGTGAGCACGAAAGCAGCAATCTCATGAACTTCAAGGCAACCAAAAGAAATCTTCTCTTTATTTGCCTGTACCAACATCACAAGCACAATATAACTCAGTCCACACTTTAAAATGGGTACAGTTCACATCTATATACCCTCACAACAAAAATCATTCATGCTAACCATCAGGCATTTATCCTTGTTGTTTCCAAGGAAAGTCAAACCAGCCATAGTAAAAAAAAAAAAACCCTCCTCATAATTTATTGTCACATGCTGTTAAGAAACAAGAAGCCCAGAAATAAGGACAATAAATTACCTGCTTCTCAAGTTGATGCTTATTGTAATAAGTTTTGACCTGATCTATTTTTTCCTCCAAGTCTTTCCGAAGCAGTTCGTTAGCAGCTTCCAGTCTTGTGTACTTCTCAAGTAACTCTTTACGGTGCCCGGATAAGAAACCAACTTTATCGGCCAATACACGGATACATTTTCGGAACTCGGCAATATCATCATCATCTCTGTCATTAGCAGAACTGAAAAGAGAGAAGAGAGTTTCAATCACCCTTCTAGTCACAATTCATGAATAAATAGAAAATCACCAGAAAGCACATCAGTCTAAAACAATAGCCTAGTCTGCTCTACTTGATAACAAACAGCAAGGAGCTTTTCTGTGCATCATTTATATTAGAAGACAAACTCTTTCCTCTCCAAGGAGAGAGATTACAAAGGGGCAAGTACTATTTACTTAATTGTATAAATTCTCAACTTAATGAAGTGATTGCAAAATGAATTCATTTACTATAGATGATCTCATAAACATCAAACTTCATGTGATATATTATTAGAGCATTCAAGGAACAATAATAAATTTCTCTACTACTAAAATGCGTGTGCTCAGGTGAGGAAGTTACTTTCGTCACTACCAGACCGCCATAGAACTTTTTTCTGTTTCTAAGTGGGAACAGGTGCTACATTGAGGAGGAGGATATAAAATTATTGAGAGAGAGGCCCTCATGTTGTTAAGTAACTTACTTGGATAAAGATTGCGCCAAATTATGCAGGGAATCTGCAAAACCAGCCACACCGCCAGGAGAATATACACAGGTCTTGAGCCTTTCAAAAAAGCTGCGCATTTTAATAAGAGATGCACGCAGTAAACTATACTCTGAAGCCCTCCTGTCAGCAGAACTTTTTTGTGTCTGAGCTTCCTCTCTTGCTTCATGCAAACAACTCTCCAGGTGAGCACAATTCATCTGTGGTGAGAGAGGAAAAGTTCAGAAGAATATAAAAGGCAAGCACAATGATGATCCAACAAAAAAAAACCACTCCCCGTTAAACCCGACTAGCGAGTGTGGGGTGGAGGAAATCCTTGTACGCAGCCTTACTCTTGCATAATTGCAAAGAAGCTGTTTCCTGGATTGAACCCACGACCTTTCAGTCACGAAGGAACAGTTTTAATGATCCAACAATAATTAAGAAAATGAAGCATTTCTCTCGTAAAATAAAAATTCAACTATGTATAGTTCATGCTAGATTCCTTCTAATCCTACACAAGTTTCAGATAACGAAGTCTTAATCGACTAAATCAATTCGCCTTCACGTGTCACAACTCAACCAAATATATAAAGAATAATCAAAATTACAAATCTTTATTTAGTTGACTTTTATCAAGATGCCTGTTCAACCCAATATATTTTCAACATGCATCTACAGAAGACTATGCACTTATGAGCTTAACTTGAATCACAGTAAACTTGCTAAGAGTCAAATAAAACTGTTCTTAGCATGGTTATGTTAAGCAACGCAATCAATACACAGATGCTTAGGAAATTCGTTATTAAGTCATCTACAAAAACTAAAATACAGCAAGAAGGATATGGGTGTTGACAATGACAGAAATTATAATTTCTGTTTTTGGTCTTCTGACAGAATAATTTGGACACATCCTGAGTTGAATTGCCAGTAGAATGCACGTTTGGTAAGAGATGAAAGAGAAAACAGGGACAGGAATTGGAAAATGACATTAAAATAGTAAACAGAGAGATAGCAATAAATAGTTCAGGAGAATCAGGCAAATACTTCTCATAAAATTAATTGCAACCCTAAAATGATGTCAATGATTCAATTCCACACACTGTTACCTGAGATTCATCAAGCAGTTTTTGACTTGCCTCCAACTCCCTTCTGAGCACAGCAACCTCATCCAAAACAGCTTTAAGCTTAGTCTCAGTTTCGTTCAATTGATTTGACTTATCTGCAAGTTCACTTTGCAGTTCGAACAACTTATCAACATTTACTTTGGAATCCAAGTCTGGACAAACGGCTGAGTCACAAGGTACAAGATCGTGTGACACAGGCAAGCTCTCAGCAGTAGAACTGTTTGTTAGTGACATGCCCAATTGTCCGACCATCTTATCTTTTTTATCTTTATCACCACTTTGCACTTCTTCACGATAAGGCTCCATCATAGATGAATCCAACTGTGGGTTCTGTACTCCAGAGGAATCAAACATGTTTTCATCCACCCCATCTAAAGCTTTACCCATTCGTTCAGTGAACAGACCAAGTTTTGCATCCAAGGAACTTGAGATGCATGAAACCTCATCCATGGACTCGGAAGTAGATATGCAAGGCATGTGGGCTTCACCACTCTCATATTCTGACTTGCAATTATCTGTCTTCCCAGTCACAAGGGGAAAGTCAGCTGCATCATTTACACTGGACATCTTTTGCCCCTGCACATATTGATCAGACAATTTATGCTCCAATTCTTGTATACGTTTCTCATATGACACACACTGCATCTGCTTCATCTTAAGCATGGAATGAACATGTTTAATATATTCATCTTTCAAATGCAAGGCTTCTGCTGTCTTCTCTGTGGCATTCTTCAGTATATTATCTGCCCTTTCTTCATCCAGTGACTCATACTCTACCTCAGGGCATAGAGAACATATTAAAGCTATTCTAGCAGCAAGCTCAGCTTTCAGTTTTGCATTCTCAACTTCCATCTTGCTGGTTCCAGCAATTTCTACCAACTCACTGCCATCAAGGAGGTCCTCAGAATCATATCTCTCAATTGAGTCAACAGCAATATCTACAGCCTCAGCCAATTGAGAGCTATCACTACTCAAAGCAGATGAACTTTTAAAGCTTCCATGCTTCTCCAGCTTGGAAGTTACTCCTGCTAGATACTCAGGTGCATATCGATCCACATCTGATATGTCAATATTAAGCAAACCAACATCAAATGGAGCTATATTGACATCACATTGGTTAGGAGTGTCAAACAACCCCATAGATGCTAATACATCTCTAGGAATGCATGAACTATGTGCTCTCAGAAACTCCTCTCGTCTCCTGACCTCAACCTCCCGTTTTGTAGCAAGCTTTTCAGCCATTTGCCCAGCCATGCCCATGTAGAGCTTCATAGAAGCCTTTCGTCTCACTATTTCTGCAAGGCAAGCTCTATATGCAGGACCAATACCATGAAACAACTTTAAATCCACAAATAAGCCATCCTGACGAGCCATTGCCTCTTTAAATACAGGAAACTGTAGCTTCTGATCTTTGATGAGATAAGAAACATAAGTTATGCTTTGCATGTAATTGTGCACAAAGATGTTCATTTCATTCTTCTTTTCCTTGCAAAAGTCAAGTAGCTTAGAAATAGCACGATCACAAGCCTGCATTTTAGGCAAGTGATTTTTGTCATGAACATCATACATAGGACCCAAGGCTGAAACTGCATCATGAGGACGAAGTGAGGAGGATAATTGGGAGGATAGACAGTCATCCACCAGTTTCTTTACAGTGTTAACATCTTTGCTGCAAAAATCCGCATAAAAATGTAATTTATAAGCTGTGCTGATAACGCTTGATATAGTGAAAGTATCTCAGAAGACAAAAGAAGTATAAAATTGTGGAATGATAAGTATAAATTGAATTACAGAAATCTATACGAGTACAGAAAGTGATATCTGGAATCGAGTATTATTCCATATTGCTTCCCGTCTAGTGAACTGTTAAGTGCTTAGTCCTAAAAACTAGAAAAGAAAAGTCTAAACTGTACAAGCTTCATAATCACCATGGAATGGGTCAAGAACTTTGCAGAGGAGGAGCATTATTATTTATGATCAGGCCCACTAACACAAAATATGAGAAGTTGAGAACCAGAATTTGAATATTAAACTCATGAAACAAGTAACAAAATTACAAAACAGGATGCCACTGCAAAGTCAGGATAACACATTAACCTTAGATGCTTCCTCAGCCATAAAGAGCACACAATTATATAAGAAGGTGTTGAAAAATAAAATAAAACTAACCTCAGAGATTGCATGATGCTCTTTTGTTCACTTGTATATCTCTGATGATCTTTAATTGCTTGTTCTAAATTCTTGATGGGCAAGAAAGCCCTGCTGGACAACACTTCCTCAACCCGATGCTTCACTTCCCCAAAAGTCTGCTTAAATTGTGACACTTTATTCTCAAACTGCTTGTGGGAGCTGGTGCATATCTCCACTGACTTCCGCAAGTTTTCTTCCTTCACCAAATCCAGTAAAGATTTGCGGCTAGCAGTTTGTAAAGCAGGGTGAAGTTTGATGGATCTGAGTTTATCAACATCCTTCCCAAAATTCACCAAGAGACCAGAATGTATCCTGTGTTGTTGCATAAAACGATTCATGAAATCCGTATAGTTTTGGTTTATCATTCGATAGTACTGATCCAAATTACCCCTAGCAACCTCCACTGCTCTTTCTTGGACCATCTGTTCTCTCAAAAGCCTCTCACAATGCTCATATTTCATCATGGTACCAGTATAAATGGCATACCCTCGATGATAATGGTACCTGAATTGCCGCTCATAAGAAGGTAAAGCCTTCAAAGCAGGATCTGAAGCATCATCAAGAGGGTGTGGATCATGAGAGGAAGATGGTGATGGAGGCTCCAAATTTCTGGGGATATCAACTTGCTCTGGTGGTGGAGGTAGCGAGTTGTTTTGAAGCCTTGCCTTATTGAATATGTAAACTTCTCTTTCATCAGATGGAAGCTTGTATGCAGACAGTGGCCTCTGCGACTCAAGTTTCATATCCAAACAAAGAACAAGCTGATCACTGAGATTAATCCCGGTAACTTCCTCAATTGACCGCATAACTTCCTCAACAAGCGTGTTTTCATCACAATTCAACTCAAACGAGTGTCCATTCTCAGCAATATGAACCAGAAGCTGGCCTTCATGGACCAAACTACCAGTCAAGCTGGAACTCATCTTATCCACCACTAAGTCCCAATCAACACAACAAGGCCTTAATCACAACCTCCTTCCACCAAAAAAGAAAATCAATCAAGACCAAATAAAAGGGATCACGTCAAACTCTCAGCTATAGCTGAAACAACAACACCGTAGCAACCCAATCTAACCTTTCTTTCTTTTTATAACAGAAAAGCTTTTTTACTTTAACCCCAAAAAAAGGAGAAGTTTATCGATTTGGAACCTAATAAATTCTAAGATTACTGCATCTGGAAACGAGCCCAACCATCGGCAGGAAAAAACAAAACACACACACACAAAAAAACCCTTTACGACAAAATTACAAATCAATCAACCCAAACTAAACGCTGCAACAATAGCTCAACTTCGCACATACCCAACACAGATATTCGTGGAAAAACGAAAACTTTAACCTTAGATCCTCTCAAAAACCCTAGTTAAAAGCAACCCAACTCAAAAAACAGACGCACCGAACCCAACAATGAGGAGGAGACTGAAACGGCGTGTATGAAGAGGCAGGCGGCGAAAATGACGAAACAATCAGAACCCAAAAAAAGAAGGCGAAGAATAAACCCGAATTATGCCAAACCCACCCAGAATCCAGTTCATCAGGGGAATTTTGAATCCAACAAGAGACAGCACATAAATAACCAAATTAGGAAGCATGAAAGGAAGGAACAGTTATTATTTTAAGGGGAAAATCTTGGAGTGGTAGCGTAGATGGTTAGAGTAGATTACGTGGAGATATTGATCTTCCAGAATCTCGGCTTAGCAGCACAACAAAGATGTCACGAAACCCACCTTTGATCATTTCTTACAACTCACTACAATCATAAAACCGTTGTTTTTCTTTCTCTCTTTCTTTTTCCTTCTCTCTAATCTCTCTCTCTCTCTCTCTATATATATATATAATATATATTTATTTATTTTTCTTCGTTGCACAAATTTGTTTTTCCGTGTTTATTATAAATTCCACAGAACCTTCTGCAGGAAGTAACCCTCTGATAGCAGAAGCTCTCTCTCTCTCTCTCTCTCTTCTCAGAAACGTTTGGAAGAAACGAAAAAGCAAGCAGCGTGTGTCTTATATGGCGAATTATAAAGCGTAATGTGCATTTAATAACTTAACTTTGGTGATGATAATCATTTAAGATTGCTATTGGAGATACGAAGATATTTTGTACCTACTTTTTTAGTAAATAACTCTTTCTGTTACCGGTGGATATTGATGGTATTCGTGAGCCAGTTTCTGGATCTCTACTTTATGGAAACAATATTATTTCTGGTGCCATTATTCCTACTTCTGCGGCTATAGGTTTGCACTTTTACCCGATATGGGAAGCGGCATCCGTTGATGAATGGTTATACAATGGCGGTCCTTATGAACTAATTGTTCTACACTTCTTACTTGGTGTAGCTTGTTACATGGGTCGTGAGTGGGAACTTAGTTTTCGTCTGGGTATGCGCCCTTGGATTGCTGTTGCATACTCAGCTCCTGTTGCAGCAGCTACTGCTGTTTTCTTGATCTATCCAATCGGTCAAGGAAGCTTTTCGGATGGTATGCCTCTAGGAATCTCTGGTACTTTCAACTTTATGATTGTATTTCAGGCTGAGCACAATATTCTTATGCATCCATTTCACATGTTAGGTGTAGCTGGTGTATTCGGCGGCTCCTTATTCAGTGCTATGCATGGTTCTTTGGTAACTTCTAGTTTGATTAGGGAAACCACAGAAAATGAATCTGCTAATGAAGGTTACAGATTTGGTCAAGAAGAAGAGACTTATAATATTGTAGCTGCTCATGGTTATTTTGGCCGATTAATCTTCCAATATGCTAGTTTCAACAATTCTCGTTCTTTACATTTCTTCCTAGCTGCTTGGCCTGTAGTAGGTATCTGGTTTACCGCATTAGGTATCAGTACTATGGCTTTCAATTTAAATGGTTTCAATTTCAACCAATCTGTAGTTGATAGTCAAGGTCGTGTAATTAATACTTGGGCTGATATTATTAACCGCGCTAACCTTGGTATGGAGGTTATGCCAACAACCGTAGAAATATCAATTGCGTTTTCATTAATAGTTTTAATATTAATTTAAATTCTTAATATAAAAAATATACTAATTTTGTTACCTTAAAAAAATAAACATTAGTTTAATTAGTCAGATATTAGAAATACCGTTATTTTAAATCTTAATCATAAAAAAATGTATCAATTTAATCCCGAGTCTTATTATTTGTATATAGAATAACAATTCTGATATATTTCTTATAATTAAAAAAATAAATCAATGTCAAAATTATTTAAAAAATTAAAGTGGTGATATTTATAATTTTGAAAAATTAAAAAAATTTATTTTAATTTGTGACTTTAATGCATTTAAAGTCCTTATTATAATTTAAAACAACCAAGTATACATTTATCTTTTTTGGTAAGGTGTATACGTTTATCTTTACTTATACCAAATACCGATCAGCTAAGTTATGCTAAATTGACAAAGGAAAAAATATTCCTAAGGAAAGAGACTTCTCTGGTTTGCATACACACGAAGGAACTTCAGTTTCTATTTTTTCTGGTATTATTATTGGACGAATAAACATAATTTTACTTCGAATAAGTTTTTAATAATGACTTTTCTTTTTTCATTATATAATCAATCTTTTCAGAAAGGATGATGAATTTTTTGCAGAGGTTCATTAATTAGTAGCTTTGACCTTTACACGGATGTCGAAGTGGCTCAAAGTTTCTTGGTATAACTAACCCAAAAAAACATAGTTAAAAAAGCACCATAAAAATTTAATAATTGAAATTATAAAACATGCTTATCTTGCACGAGTTAATTAAGCATGCAAGTTACAAACCGCAAGACAGATATTTATTCGATATCGTCAGCCTAATAGTTATATTTAGAATGACGTTGCATAAAACATACCTGGATTCTACTAATTATAACCTTTTTTCCGATAATCCATAAAATCTTTCAAATTCTAACTAATAATTGACTTACCCATGTTAATACAACACATGAAAATACTCAAAACTTTCATTTATTAAAGATTGTTAATGTTTAGTAGACTTTTGTGCTAACAATAACCCATTGAAAAATAAAAGTAACAACATAATGCATTGCTATTAATGATTGAATAAACTTCAATACTGAACTTGGCAAGTGGCGGACGCAAAAAATAATATGATGGACGATGAAAATTTATATTATTATTATTATGTAAAGATAATGTCAATTTTGATTGGATGATCATACTAAGAATATAAAAATATCTGTTAAGAAGAACTTAATAAAATTATAGAATTTTTTGTCAATTTTTCGATGGGAATGTCAATTTTTTGTTTCAGGTGAAAATGGTCTAATGTACCCTCTATTTCAATGAAGAATTAGCTTTAAGATCCTATATTTTGTTTGTAGGATCAAATTTTTAGTGTATACTTTCATGCCTTCGTGGCATTATAATTCCACTTTCTTTGATTTCTTTATAATCTTATTTTCTCACTTAGCTGTTATTTAACAAAAGACAGTATATTAATTAATGTGATATTTATTTTTAGCATATAGTCCCAACTAATAAATGATAACTATTATTGACCTTTTTTCTTTGTCAACAAAGTCAAAACTTAAATACTCTTCTCCTGAGTTCTGATATGACAATCTGTACAAATTTTTAAAAATTATAAAAAGAAAATTAAATAATCAATCAATATAAAATCAAATTATAGACAAATTTGACAGGTATAGTAAATATGCATTACTAACTGAACTCTTCTTTGTATATAACAGAAAAGTCAACTTTTCACATTGATTGAGGAGAGTAACAGACCAAAAACAAAACTTGTCATATATGCTAGCAGGTTGAATCTGATAAATAATAGTTATCTCTAATTGAGTGTAATGAACGGGTATAATATTTTTCTTATGAATATCATCAATTGCCTTTCACTTTAAAAGTAGTTTCAAAATTTTATTTTTTCAAACCATGATATATAATAGAACATAATTTCATATTTTAGAGAGACATCAGGCCCACCCTAGCACCGTGTAGATCCGACCGAGGTTGGCAGACGTTAGCTATAACGGTAAAGCGCTTATGCTAGCAATCAATACCTCTTTTACGGTTGTGTGCTTTTTTCTTCTCCTTTTTTAATTTTTTTCCTTTGTTGATGTTACATTTAGAGTGTAAATAGACTAACTTGGCTTTGACATAAATAGATCAGGTCTGTGTAAAAAATATTGGGTATAGTCTGACTTATTAGTCTGTGTAGACCTCAAATTACAAGTCTAGTTGACCTATATTTAAAAAATAAAAGTCTCGCCCTAGACTTGTTAGCCTGTTTAAGCCTATTAAACATTCAACAATTAAAAGAACAACTAAAATAATATCATTTTATTATTCAAAATTATTAAAATAATAATTTTATTTATTATATTTTAAATAAATAATATGATATAGGCCGGCTTGTAGACTTATAGACCTGACATATACAAAAAAATCTATAGCCTATTTTCTAAATAGGTTTTTTTAAAAGTCTAATCCTATTCTATTTTACTATTTATAATAGGCCAAGTTTGACCTAATATAGACTAAAATGTAAATTCTTATAAGCTGGCCTAGCCTATTTACACCCCTAATTAGTGTTGTTGCTCCAAAATCTATTATTGCGGAACTAAAAAAAGGGGAAGAAAGATATTTTCTAATAACACAGATAGTGTAAAATGTATAACTAATTTTACTGTAGATATATCAGAATATTTAATAATTTTTTCACCTGTATGGAATATGGTTGTTCCTTTTATGCAAGTTCATATTGTAAAATTGAATCTTTGGCATCGATATTACACTTAAATTTTAGTGTCACAAAGATTAACTTTTTTAAAATTTTAATAAAAGATGTTGTCAGAGACAATTATGATTACGAGTAATTATAAAAAGTAATATCATTTTTAAATAATTAATTACACTATTAATTATTAATTTTATGTATATATAATAATTTTTCTCGCAGTAGTTTTTTTTTTGGTGAGCAGTAGTTATTTGTCGATAATAAAATTGTAAAAAACAAAGACTAAATAAATTTTTGTCATAAAGAAGTTACTAGTTTGCACGTTCATATTAATAAAAATAGGGGTAGGATCAATTTATATCGATGCAAGTATAATAAATTTTACACTAAATTTAAACCGTTAATTTTTGTGAATCTAACAATTATGATTTATTGAGTCATATTCACTAATTAATTATTAATTTTTAATAAATCATAACTGTTAGATACACATAAAACAATGATTAAGATTTAATGTAAGACATATTATTCTTATACCGATATAAATTGATGATATCCCATCAAAATAACCTTAATTTTTTTTTCTCATTTCACTTTATTTACATAGTTAAATACTACCATTAAAATAAAATAAATTTAAGTTATATAATTGCTAAAATTTAAATATTACTCTTTTATTACAATTTTTAAAACTTTAATTATGTTTCAATGAATTTATTTTTAGGAAGAGTTATATTTACAAAATTTTTGTTTACAAATTCTTATAAACTCAACTATATATTCTGGAGAGTACAAATATTTGAATGTATACTCACCTGATTACATAGTTGAATTTATAAATAAAAATTTAAAAAATATAATCTGGCCATTTATTTTTTATTTAAAAAAATTTAATTCAAAAGTTGTATTAAAATATTTTGATTATAAACAGTTTTTAAAGTAAAACAAGCTGGCTTGAAGGTTAAGAAATCAATTAATTAATAAGTTCTTCTAAATATTAAGATAATGTGGGTTCTTAAAAGTACTTGTCGAATTTTATTTCTTAATCTCAATTAATACAAAAATTGCTTAAAAGAAAACTGAACCAAGTTAATTTAAATACATACTAGATACTTACAAAAAAAAATTATGAGATTAAATAACTCACGCAAGCTAAGGGTAAAATACTTAATATTTATATATAATCATGTGATTTGGCATTTAATTGTAAATATAATCGTGGCGGTGCAAATTGATTAAAATGTTAACGTACAAATTGTGCTTTAGATTTATTATTATTGTTATTATGATGATGATGCTCTAGTACGTTAGTTATGTGAGGTCATCATTATACATGTGGTTTTATATAAAAGAAGAAGAAGAGAATTTGTTTAAAAAAAAAAATCATTATACATGTGGAGAGAAAGAATAATTAATGCAATCCTACTTTGAATCCTTATTAGGTTGGTGTGGGAATGTGACTTTCCTAATTTAAACTTTTATTTACTAAAAAATATTAATTTTAATGTTTATTATGAAAATAATCATAACTTACTAATTTATTAAAAAATAATTTATAATTTTTAAAATAAACAAATAAGAGTATGTTTATTCTCAAATTCTAATAAAATAAAATTACTGTATATTTTAAATTATAATAACATTAGATGTATGATTATTTTATTTTTTTATTTTTAAGTAAAGTATTCATGTTTTATTTTTAATAAAAAAAGAGAGAGTTTGGCCTCCCTGCTCAATATATTTGTGTAGCTTCTAACCGTCACCTCAAACTCCTCTCTGCTAATAATAACAAAGAAGTTGTGCATGATTCGCGATGAAATTGACTTGAGGGTTAAGTTCCTGGAAGCTTCGCAGATTACAAGAACATGTTAATGCTAAATTCAAAGGTATGTTCTTTTGTGCATACGAATGTGAATCAGATGCCACATGATGGTAATTATATCTGAGGATAAGATCACAAAAACCAGGAACGGAGTCACCAATTTCCACGTAGTTGCACTTGCACTTTTCTTTTTCTAGTTGGCTAGTCCAAATATTCGGCACATGGCCATGTTTTTTAGGAAAAAAAGAAAACTAACGTGTTCGATAAAATCCCTAAAATAATATAACTAGTTTAAATTAATTCATGCTTGTTGTAAAGAGTTTGGCATAGTTAATTTTTTGTTGTTGTTGTAATCTTGGCATATTTAATTGATTTGTAATCTTGGCATATATATATATATATATATATATATATATATATATATATATATATAAGTTAGGATCTTTTGACATCAGTGTCAAATTTTAAATTTGACACCATATCTGAGAGACATTAGATAAAAAAAGATCAACGACTCTGATCTGCAAACATGTGACACTATTGTTTTTTTTAATCTAATGACTATCAGATGAGGTGTTAAATTTAAAATTTAACACTCTGAACGGTGGTAACAAACTCATTTTCGATCATGTTCCGAATGAAACAACCTAGAAATGAAAAGTTTGGCAATTAATAAAGCATCCAGAAAACGAGTCTATTTTGAAAGGAAAGTCAAATATCATGAATAGTGTGAACATCATTCTTATTAAAATTTTGATTTATTACTATAATTTTATGTTTTTGTAATTTTTTTTTTATTAAAACTATTTTACTAATATTTCAAAAGTTTTTATATTTTTATGATTTTTTACGATTTTTTTACATTATAATTTTATATTTTATGATTTTTTAATTCCTTTTCGATTTTATTTATTTAAGATCTCGATTTTAACCGGTGAAGATTACACTATTCTCGTGTAAGATTACATTGTATGAAGACTTGCAAAGACTTTGGTTCAATATATCGGTAACAGTAACGTATGAAGACTTATAAAGTCTTTATAAAGGCTTTGATTAAATATAGGGAATAAACGGCTAACTATAACCGATAGAACATAATTAAATTTAAAGCTTCTTTCTTACTCATTCTTAAAGTAGACACGGCATCTTGCTTGTTTAATCACGTAGCAATTTAACCATATGATTATTTATAACTGAATAGCAAGATGGATCATTTTTCTTCCCGTGAACTTTATATAATATTTTTTCTCTTTTTAAATTTGAAAATGGTATATATAAAAAATTTAAAACAGTGATATAAAAAGGTTTTATAAAATATTTCAGAATTAGAAAATATATATGATAAAAAATTATAATTAATTTAAAATTACAAAGTTTTCGTCATTTTTATTGTAGAAAAGTATATTTAATTTGATTTTAAAAAATAAAAGTGACACCAATAGGCATGAGTTTCATTACGAAAGGTTTTGCTTTCCCCCATTCATGTAGACCCATGGTAAGGTTGATATACATATACATACAGATATTGATATGCAGATATAGATATATATGATCATACACATCCCTCCATCAGCACATACTATCAAATATTTTGTTAGGCTAAAAAAGATACTGCAATATGCATTTCTAAATCATATAATTGGGTCATTATATTTATGTAATCTCAACCGAATCCTTCTCTCTATCAAATCGCATATGCCATTAGCCCATTATGTTGTATAATATTATTCGGTTAATATCTATTGAACCTTATCCTGAAGGCTTACCTCCAAATGGGTGGCATTATTCCGCTATATAATTAATATCCATTGAAACTTGTTTTAAAGCGCTATTCCATACAGTTAGGTGGCTCTTGATTATTTTACTAATTAGTTTTCTACTATGCAAAACAAGAAAAACAGAGATATTTTATTTATGAAAGAGAGGATAAAATAAATGGATATATGGATGTTCACAAAGCACAAAAGATAGGAGTGACACTCACAGAGGTTTTGTTGGGTTGAATTCGATTGAGGATGTGATGGGACTCGTTGGTTACCATCAATCAACTACAAGGGCTATTGGCAATCACATGGGGACTTGCCATATAAGACAGTGATGTCTCACCCTAAAAGGAGTGACATGAAGACTGAGAAGGGCCACCACATAATTGCATATATATAGCAGCTAGTAAGAATTTCAAAGTTAGCATAGACACAAAGGGCCACTTGATAGAATCTGTGGCAGCCCACATGCTCATTTGATCGATATGTAGAGTGAGCTCAAGCTCAGATTAGATTCCTTTCTTACATGCCAAAAATTCAGTTTTTTTTTTATTGCTCCAAGGGTATCCCGGATCGATAGTTGAAAATTAATCTTTAGAAGAGAGATTATCAAGTGAATATAACCTCTACCAACAAAGCTTTTTTAATTTAGTTTTTTTTTTTAATTACTCATTCAGAGGATCTTGATCTCCTCGGAACTCACATTTTATTTTTGAATTTAATAGTAAAATGGAAGAGGATTTTTTATAAGGAAGAGATAGGCAATATACTGTACAGAGTCCGTTTGGATCATCTTTTTTTAAGCTAAAAGCTGCTTTTAAGCTAAAGCTAAAAAAAAGTTAAAACTGTTTGTTGATTACATAAAAATTTTAGTTTAAAAGTACACATTTCAAGAAGAATCTCTTTCTATGACACTCTTCATTTTGAAAAAAAAGTACACAATTCAAGAAAAGCTGATAAAAGCTTAAAAAAAGCTCTTCCTAGGAGTTTTTAGCTTTTGACTTTTTTACTTCATTATAATAAAAGTGCTTTTTATTATAAGAGTTTTTCTCAAAATCTATTTAGCCTAACTTATACTTATAAGGAGAAGAGAAACTAAAAATAAGAGGATCCAAACATGTACATAGTTACCATCATCATAAAAGATGAGAAGAGAGTTTAACCTTTATGTTTGGGGAAAAATGACTCTCATGTCACATAAAACAACTTCCCTTATATTGTAGACACAAAACATATGGGACCCAATTTAAAAATAAAATAAAATAAAATTCAAGGCACATTTTTTGATGAATATATAAGAGGTATGTTTTTTCTCATATAACATGAGAAAAACATACCTTTTTTTGTTTGGAATCATTAAAAATTGAAAATGATTTAACTTGATTTGAAAACTAATTCTTATATTTGAAATTTATTATAAAATATATTTTGATTAATTTGTGAATCAAATTTCATATTTATGAATTAAAGATTGATTAAAATAGCTTATATTAATAATTTATTTTTTTACAATTTCTTAATAAGTTAGATTGATTATTTAATAAAGATAGAAATATTAATTCGAATTACAACTAAAATCAAATCAAGCTTGATCAAATTTCAGTAATTTAATTAATAGAAGTTGATTAAATTTTTATTTGTTCATAACTTAAAATAAAAAATATTTATAAATCAATTTCATTTGTACTTTATAACTTTCCAAAAAAGAAATTAAATTAAATCAATCCATACAATATTTGATTCCAAACTTCTTCTTTTTTGGTAGATGAAATTTTAAGGTGATTAAATATTTTTTCTATTCAAAGGTCAAAATGAATTAATAATTTTAGATAGAATTTATAGAAAAGTTATAAGAATTGCCTCCTATAAAATATACCCGGGATTTATCCAAAAAAAAAATTACTACCTATTCTTAAATTTGAACTTTTTGATAGTAGGATTTACAGTATGATTAACTTCAAAATGACAGAACCAATTGGGTTTATTATGAAAGCTCATGACCATAGCTGGGCCACTTGACCAAGTCTTCATATTGCTAATGTAATTTAAATTTATAATTAAAGTAAATAGAAATGAATAATTCTATGTACAAATCACAAAATGAATAATTCTTTCTACTCCTAAGGGACCTTTACAACTATTTAGTAATACATAATAATACATGTAAACAGAAAAAAGTTGGTTTACATTATCAAGGTTAGCTATGGCCATTATCTCGGCATTGTAAATGAGACTCTCTTCAAGCATTCTAACTCAATTTAATGGACGGAAATTTCCAACATTAAAATTTCATGGATAATTCCCTTCTCTGTATGTTGATTATAAAAATCTAAGGGATGATCAAAGCTTGAGTCTCCTCTTAAACTAACCTTGTGTTGATTAGATCACCAAAGAAGTACTGTTGTGAACATTTTAATAACAAGAGGCTTCACGAATCTATCATTTGGAACCGGTTTTCTTCATTCCTGGCCTTTTCCAGAAGCAACCTTGGATCTTTCTTTGACTCACAACTTCTGAAGTTTCTGAATGATTTTGCATTAGAAGTTAAGGTAACAATGCTTCCATTGTAATAGTTGAAATGCTCAGTTGAAGAAGTATGGAGACTCAAGAACCTTTCGCAAGTCAAAATCACCTCTCTGTGGCAGTGGAGGGAAAGTTAATCCAGGGTATGATGTCTCAAAGCCTTCCAGCAACTGTCAACAAATCAAATAATGAGGTTGTTTTATTTCCTTCCTCTGTTGGTCCAAAATGCAAAAGCTTTGAATTAAAGAGGGACAATGTGATCCTGATGTTTTTAGTATAAAGTTAGAACTTAGATGTGATGCTAGTACACTAACAGTCTAGGGACAAAAAGTTCTTGCAAAAATATATAGCTGTTTCTCTGTTAGTTATCTGTAATAGAACAAAGGAGGAGGAGAAGCTTCCTGGTAAAGGAAAGGCAGAGGTGGTCCATATAAACTTGGTTCCATTTTAAGTAAATAAATATTAAATAGACTCCACAATTCTATAAGTTCATGTTGAATATTTCCCTGCAAGTTAAACCTATTCTTTGGCAATAAACTTATAATACTTGAGCTTTTAAGTGGATGAGTTATTAATTATGGTACAAGTATGTTGCCCCAAATTGTATCCAAAAAAAAAAAAGTATGTTGCCCATGTGGTATAGAGTTTCAGACCATAATCCTCCCACCCTCAATTAATAACACTACATGGAAAGGGCACGTCCCTAAGGCTAAATCCATGCCTTTTGTCCTACTGGCCTTTGCATCAAGGGTAAGTCACTCTTTCTTTTTTATCACCCCCCTCCCAAAAAAAAAAATTTGCTCTCATGTGATAATTCAAGTTTTAGATTGAGAAATTCTTTAATTTTCCCCACAACAGAAATGATATTAAAAAGGCCTACAGGAGCTTTCATATTTGATAACAAGAAAAAACTTTTCTGCTTGTATTCCTATAAACTAAGCCCGAGTTTCTCATGATACAGAAAGAACTTACATTTTCAAGTATTGGTATGCTATAAAGCTCGACAAATTTTTCTCTAAGAATCTGACTCATTTTCTCCACATCACATGCATGTGTCCAAAATGAGTCATGAACTCCTGCATAAACATTTATTTCACAAAGATTAAGCACCAAAATGCATGAAAAATAAATAAATAAATAAAATTCTTTAATAGACTCGTCCTGCCACCAATTATCTCAAAATTGAGCATACAAAGTGAAAGTTGAGTGTAACTACATCAACAGAATCAGATAATTAAAGATAGATTTAACAGCAGTGGCTACTAATCTAGATGCGCCTTGAGCATTAGTATCATAACCTCCAACATGATTATGTAAAAACAAAAAAATATAAATGCAAATTGATCCAAAGCAAGATTCTACGGAAAATGTCACAAACATGATATGACATTTTTTTGGTAGATAAAAATTTAGGACGTGGATAGGTTGCTCCACAACCAAAGGCTAGGCACACACTGCAATCAGTGGATGCCTAATAAGATTACCAGCAGGAATTGAAGCAAAGAACGTTTGCATCATACACAGCTCAATCCCTACCAATTGAGCTAACACCCACAACTGGCATATGACAAATTGAGTGGTTTGGGATGTAGAAAATGAAAAAAGATGGGTGACGTTGATGTTGGAAGTTAGCTCCTCCATTAGGCAACCTTTCCCCCTCTTCTATCCAGGAGCTTTCACTTCTAATGTAACCCCAAAATGAAAAAAGGAGAATAACATTTCAACTCTACAAACTACGAAAAAATAATAAATTTAGAACCAATCCCACCCCACATTTGCTAAATTAAAGCTTCAATGAGTGAAAAACCAAAAAAGCAATTCTAGAAGTAATTTTAAGAATCAAAGAAGAATTTTGCAAATAAGCAATTCTATTGGTTTCCCTAATTAAAAAATCAACCAGAATAGCAAGCAAGAATTATCCGGTTCTTTTTTATTAAAGAAAATAATACAAACAAATTATTGGATAATGTGCTCAAATACAAAGATCAAGCAGGAAAATGGAATCGCACTAAAAGATTAGGGCAGGAAATAGCAAGGAACCAAAGATAGAAACCAAGACTACTAAGTGTGAAAAGTAAAAAATCATCCTAAGCAAGTTAACAAGGAAAACTGACAGAAGCAAAATAACACATCAAAATAGTAAAGCTCTTCAATCTCTTTCCAAGTCTGACAAGGAAAACTCTTCAAAACACCAAAGAGTTGAACACCGAAGAGAAGCCAAAAAGATCAATATAAGTCAAAATTTGGAAAAGACAGAAATCTGTCTTGAAGATATGGGCAGAAAATCATTAAGCCCCAGCTAAATATACCAAATAGATGCCTATATAACACACCTTTAGAAGGCTTTGCCTCCCTTGCTCAAACCAGAGCCTCAAAAACTAATCAATAAAAACTGCTCCAAACTCAGGACAAATCCAAAATTCACCGAGGACTCCAAAGAACATCAGTGATTTTATATAAGATTTTGCTGAGGGGAATAAGCGCCTCAAGGCTGCAGGATGCATTGCATCTTTGCATTGGACAGGACCCAGGATGTAAGACTACGGGGCCTCAGCACAGCCTTTTTATACATCACTGAACTGCACTTTCCCTTAAAATTGTGATAATCTTTCACAATTTTAGAGTAAGTGCTTCTAACTCCATCCCTACACCTTCCAGTTCCAGAAACAATTAAGCAAAGATTCCAAAGAGAAAAATGGAGCCTATCAAAATAGACAATTCCTATGCACTTAAAAGACCAATAAACTGGTCAAAGAGCTAAGAGCTCATGTAGCACCGGACATGGGTTTGATCCCAGACATGAACTTCTGACCCCCCTTCCCCCATTTCCTATAGGTCTACGCTGCCTCCCTTGGAACCAAAAAAATATTAATCTATGTTGTATATCTTTTTGACTTTAGATGGAAGTTTTGCATATGTTTATGACTTTGTGGGTGAAATGATGTCTTAAAACCTGCAAAACATAAGCCAGCATCCCTGCAGCCAAGAGCAGTCATCATCATGTGTGAACCATCCAGAGAATGTACAAAGTTGGGAGGAAATGCAGTTCTCTGTTTCTTGGCATCTACCTGGAATACAGATAGTTTAAATAATGAAAGTAGTTCAGAATGAAAGGGAAGCTGGAGAAAAGAGAATTATATACACTTACTGCATCACCCTCCCGCCTCAGAGCCAAAAACTGAAGAGATGTTCTGATCTGCAGTCAATGGTTAGATTTGTTCATGTTTTGACATGGGTCAAAAACTTTAAGAACTATATAATTTGATTCAAATGTATAACTATTGGTATCTGTCATGGGTTTCTACTGCCAATTCTATGAATGAAATACACAACCCTTAGAAATCTATTTTGCTGAAAACTAGTGTTTCTCAATCTTTGTGCTGTGCTATGAGAAGTAGTCAAGCACAAAATATTATAATGGTCTAGACATTTACGAGGAAATATCAGGTGGTCAAATATCCAAATAATTCCAAATGCAATGGAGTCTGACATCCCCATCCTTAATTTATTATTACATATTCTGGAGTTAACTGACTTATCTATCTCCATTGTATTGCCTAATCGAAGAACTTTTTTGGGTGTCTCACAATTGAGCTATTTTTGGATAAAATAATCACCAAACATCACAATGTTTTGCACTCCTCTAATAAGCCACCGAAAAGGATGTGATATAAGAAACATTTCATCTATAGAGACTGTTCAAGATATATTATATAAAATCATTTATGTCTCTTCACCTACCAACTTAAGCTTTTGGAAGATTTGAAGATTGCGATAGACCTGTTACAGGTGAGAGGTGGTGGACCAGGAGGAGGACAAGAGGAGTTGCAGCCAAATGATAGCAGCAACATGTTAAAGAACGATCCACGTTAATTTGTAAATGCATCAATCTATTGCATCTAGTCACAAAGTTACCTACTTATTTTAGTGGGCTTTTACAAAAGTCATCCTTTTAACCATTTAGGTGGCTATCTTACATTGTACATTTAGTACATTACTTTTTACCTGTCACTGTTAAATAAATTAATAACTGTAAAACCAAAGGAAAGGGGAAAAAACATTTGTATATAAATACACTTACCAGATGACGTTCAGTTTTACTGTATGGTTGTACAACTGGAAGACCAAGAGGAGTGGTCCAACGAACAGGCTGGTTTTCAGAAGTGATCACCTATAGAAAGCTCCAGACCCCACCATTCAGGAAAAGAAAGAAAACATGCAAACATGCAGGCAAGCACAGATACATAGGCTTATTCTCACGTGCAAGAGTGCCAAAACCAATAGGATTTCAGTATCATTTAAAGTCCATCATGGGATGAGACCTAACCTTTGCACAATCACCAAGCCAACCCATAATCACACGTGCAGATCCAAAAATTTCTCCAAGGGCAGTTAATGTCACCTACATAATGATAATGTACAAGTGTAATGTAAATTGTATCTTAGAATGTTGGTTCAGATGTATTTTCACTCATATATTACTGCTATATTTGATCAAACCAAACCCATTAGGAACGGGACACTTGGATAGTCAACTAAATAAACTATAATGTGAAATAAGTGACTCCATCTTAAATTCACTTTATCTGGGTGATTAGGTCTTAAAAATAATATTTTACAAAGAATATTTTTGGGTACTATCAAGTATTCCAACAGGGAATGATCTCATGATGCAATGATAAGAAATACACATCAAATCATCCATTGCAGCCTCTAACAGGCAAAATACCTCCATATAACGTAGCTGAAGCTGATACTTACTTTAGCAGCATAGCAAGCTGCAGTAAATAAAAGTTTTTCATCAGTTATAAGGCCTTTCTCCTCTAATCTTTTCTTTATTTGCTCCCGTGCCCCAACAAAAGTAACACCATAAACTGAAGTCATCACTGTCTGTTTGACGAGTTTCCTATCAATCTGGAAACTTCCAAGACTTAGGTAAGTTAAGAAAAAGAGATTATAGACAACTGCTGGAGCATAAATTTTATCATTTAACACAACTTTGAAACTTTAAAATCGACATTGACCTGATCAATCAAAACCTTTGCTAACAAAGCATTTGGATAAGTAGCTGGGTCTCGGTTGCTATCCCTTCTCATAATATCACGAACCCTGCCCATATATACAAGTCAAATGAAAATAAAATATTAATTATGCATAGTGAAGTGGACAAGGTCAATTGTACGCCTAGCACTATGGGGTGATGGATCATGAAATTCCATCTGTCAGATAATATACTTAAACAAAGTAGGTCATCATGTAACAGAATTTAACCAAAAAGTTAACTATAACTGATAAATACAGAAAATGCACTAATTTCTATGAAAGCAATGCATTTTGCATTCAGACTTCAGCAAGGCAATAATATAATGGGGTGAAAGGCTTTGAGCTCAAAATAATATAGCACGAAACAGAAGTTCGAATGCAAAACAAAGAAATTGCTGATAATGTATTTAACATACCTAACAGCAATCTCTGAGTAAACATCAGCAGGTTTGTCTCCGGTGACCAAGTTAACTGCAGCAGCCTCTAGCTGATAAATCACATTTATTCCAGTAAAGTGAGAATAACGCCAACGAAATTTATCAGCAACAGAAGATATTGTGGAATAACTTATCAATTAAACTACCCTTGTTACAGAAGGCAATAGATTCAATCTTTCTAAGGGAGCACATGAGTAGTTAGAAGTACAGGTTAATGAACTCTGCACTGACTTTGCTTTGTTAGCCATTTTAGAATGACTTTGTGCTAACTGCTAACAAACCCTTTAATTGCTGTAGAAATATAGTTAGCTATTAAGTATTGTAATCATCTGTTAGTTCTGGAGATAGAGATCACTGACTCACATGTCAGGAAAATAGAACATCAATATAAAGCACATCTAACTTTAAATACACACGCCAGAGAGGAAAAAGAAAGATTAATCCCCCACAACATAATAAGCCAGAAGGCTGGTCCGGTGCACATTGACATTAAAATTAATAATAGAAAATTGGGAGAATGGGAAAGCAATTAATTTGTTATAAAGATAAGAGTGCCATAACTTGTAAAATTACAAGTCGTACTATTGAATAATTTACCAAAACATGGAGATATGAAGGTAACAAAGCTGCTGAAAGCACCCAAAACAATTCAAACAATAAGGAGAACATTTTCCATATATTGAAGAAGCAGTGCTAATATGATGCTGTGGGAGTAATAGAAAGAAGTTATCTCAATACATCAGAATAATACTGATATTTCCAAATGTAGTGACTCAAGGAAAAATAATGAAGAAAGCTATAAAAAATTAAATCATACTCAAATGATGACTAAATCTAGGAAGTATATTAATCTAATAAAGAAAACACATATTATATTAAAGTGATAAGTGATTGAAAATTAAAGAAATGAGATATAAGTAAACCTACAGTGTCTCTTCCCAAAGCAGCATAGTGCTGTAAGCCATTACAGGAACCATCCTAAAAATTCCATCAGGCAGTGTTACTAACAATTTTTGTTTAAATATTAGATAAAGAAAACATTTAAATTGAAAGATGAATAAATATGATAGAGAAATTTGCAATATGAAGAACCTATAGTGGTATCATTTCTAGTGTTCTGGTACCAAATTTCAAGTTTTCTTTCCTTGTTCGATTTTTCTTATGATTGTATGTTACCATTTAGATAGAGTATAATTTTTACTTAAGATCTAACAAAATTTTCTACGAACAGGTCTATAGGAGAGCTTGGAGACAATTGGGATACTTGTAAAAGAACTCTGCAAAAGTTATAACAACAGCTCATTTACGCTTCCAATGAAGCATTTACCTGATGAATAGGCAGATGTGAGATAACAGAATTTGGTGATGAGCTTCTTAAGGCTTCTGACAGATTAATACAAGCAGCAAGGCACTGGAAAGGATCCTCAGCCATTAACCACCAACGATTTCCATTAATTGGGTTATCAGCAGAGTCAAATATATCATGAAGATGATTCTCTACAAAAGCTAGGCGACAATCATAAGAAAGCTTTTCAATACCACCTGCATACAAATTCGCTAAGTGGATCTTCAGCCACTGTAGTCCAGACTTTCCCAAAGGCCGCCCTTCAGCAAACTCAAGTAATCCTCGACAAAGATCACAACTTAAATGATTCAAATGAGAATGCATGGGATATGCTCTGCCACGAAAGTCAAGATTGTGGGGATAATAAAAGCCTTCCTCATCTTTCATGTTTCGAGCAACCTGTTTCCGATGTATTTTGTAATTATTTTTCATTTAGTGAAACATGGGATATATTTGAACACGATTATACAAAAGTTAGTTGATATTATGTAACTCATGATCAAATGGAACCAATATAAATGTCTAACTATGGTTACATTGACCAACATTCTATTCTGCAAGACAAAGGCAAGACAATAGGTCTTTAAGTGGCAAGTAAAATTGGAATTTTTAATGGTTCAAATATAGCATAGAAAGATATTTGTCAATGGAAGGGGAGACCTTACAGAAAGCTTAAGTTCAGTGTCACATCTTAGAGAATGCCTCTCCAGATTAATTTTCTTTGCCTTCCTTACTCTCCATTTCCACTTCAGAATTTGTTTTGAATCCTCTACAGGTGGCCTCTCTGGTATAGGAACCTACAAGTCAATTAAGAATATATGTAGGCAAGATGAAAGATGAATTACATAAAAATGGGTAATGTTGAGAACTCATCACATTTCAAGCTTAACGGAAAAGGGTGGAAATATAGAGGTGAATATAATTACTTCATGTAAAAGCCATTTTTCATTTAACTTTGCAGTCTAATTTTCAAAAGCAATAGGTAAATAGGAAAATATCCAATATGAATATGTCTTCAAAAGTTGTTTATCAGTTTGTGCTTACATCTTTACGATTAATCAGGCCTGCAATGTTACCTCCTCCAGCCCAGATGGACTCCACAACACTAAGTAATCTTCTATTTACTCGCCATTTGGTGTTGCCAAGTATATCCAAGGCCTGCAAATGTATCATTAAAAAGCTTCCAACTTATTACCAGATGCATAGTAATTGTCATGAACCAACTCTTTGAAAAGCTTAAGCTTATTAGGTGAAGACTCATGAAAGGTTCTATATTACATCTTTAACACACTCCCTCATGCAAGATACCTTTTGGGTTTGTAGCACGGGCAATGTACAGGCCACCTACCCTATGCTGAAATTCGACTTTTTTATTAAAGAATAGGGTGACAAGAATTGAACTCCAGACTATTTGGTCATAGAGGCTCTGATACATGTCATAAACCAACTATTCCAAAAGCTTAAGATGTTAGGTGATAACATATTAATGGTTTTTGTATTACATCTCGAACAATAACAAATTCGGACTAAAGAAACAAGAAACAATAGTGCCAATAGAATTATGCCTTTTTACAAGGAAAATTAGAAAGAATGATGCCTTAAGATTTTAGATACAATTCAAACTTCAAAATTTGAAGCACCTTTAAATGTAGAGGACTACAAATATTGAAAGTTAAGATAAATTAACTTTAATGTTTAATAAGAAGAAACTTGGAGTCACTACTTTGATATCATGCAAACAATATTGCATCAAATTTTTTATTAGATCTTATGGAATATTGCCACACTCCTTTCTAGGTAATGAAAAAGGGAAATGAAAATATACATATAATACCTCAAAAACTTTTTGCATTTGTGTCCTTTTAACATTCTTCATTACATCTTCCTGCATCTTGGATCCATGAGTACGCATGATATAAGATGGTAGGAACAAGTGCCCACCCTTGTCATACCTGGACAGATCGTCATAAGATATTAGACATACACACACAAGCAAGGAGAGAGAGGCAGCGAAGAGCTACAAACATTAAGGATTGTAGAGAAGAAAGTGAACTTGCACCCTCTACTACCATCCATATTGTTCCGACATTCAAGTTAGTTACCATATTCAAAAGAAATAGCTAAGAGTTCATTCTTCAGTTCAGATTAATTGCCCTCCTCCCTCTTCAGTTTTGAGAAGGGCAGGAACATAGCATAATAAATCATGCTATAGTCACATAAAATCTAACCAAATGCAGGCTTATCAACATGCAATACCAGTATGACCCACTCCATATGCCATACCCTTTCCATTTTTTAGGAGGTACTAACATTGGCATGTAAGGTATTAACATATGCTTAGCCTGCAAAAAAACAAATGCATTGATTAGTAAGTAAGCAACTCAAGATACATCCATTTCAGGTAGTGCATGCTAATAATCATGAAAGGATAAGAAGTATCTAATTGAATAGACCTAATGGCATGCTTAAAAACAAACATATTAAAATAAAAGAATAGTATGTGGAAGTTTAATGATTTCACCCAAAATTTTCATGTCTTTATCCAGCACTAGTAGGAAAACACAAGGAAGTTCTTTAAAGCACAAAATCTTCAGCAAGATGTTTAAGCAAAGCAATGAGAAGGTTTTAAGATCCTCATCTACCTACCTCCACCTAAATGCAAGTTCTTTTGGGGAAGGGTAGGAGGAGGGGAGTAACAAAATGTTCAAAAGAGATAATAATGGATTTACTTTACTATCATGCTTGGTGGGCTACAGTGAAAACCTTTACAACTTTGCAGAACAACTTCAAGTGGCCATAATATTTTATTTTAAATTTTTAAAACAAAGGGGGGGTGGGGGGAAAGATTTCTCAACTTACAGATTTATCCATCCCAGCAAGGACTAAGGGATCACATTCTATAACGCCATAATTCTTCAAAATCTTTTGCCTACAAGTACCAAACAGTTATTTAAAATAATAATAAAAACATGAGTGTGAAATGAAGGCACTTTCATCAAAACATTAAACACTGAATCTTTGGAGATATTTAGTTGTTCACGCTTTAAAAGATCTACCATACAGACATTTGAAATATTATGCCTCTCTTAAATGTGGGGCTTTTATCCCCATCTTTTTTTTTCTCTTACTTATTTATTTATTTCTTATTTTTATTTTATTTTTAACCGCTTTTTTTTACTTTTATATTTCTCAAAGTTATCAAATGCGGATTGTGGCATGTCGCGGCCAACCCCAAAAAACGCTATTGCTCTATAGCGGGTTGCGGTTGCGGAAATAGCGGAATATATATATGACAGAAATAATGACAAAAAGAAAAGGCAGAGATAGCAGAAGTGACAGAGAGAGACGCAGATAGACTAAAAAACCCCTAAAGAAATTTATGCTACACATTTAAATTTAGGACAAAATTGACATTTTGCCTTATGACAGCAATATGGCCATGATTTGGCCTCAAATGCGATCGAAATAGCCGTTATTGCGTTCCGGTGTGGCAAGGCACCGCAACGCCCGTACGGAGCGGCTCTTAGCGCTATTCGGCGCAATTAACTACTATGTTTCTCTCTATATATATTATTATTTTATTTATTTTTATTTTTATCCCTTTGTATCTTTCATTTGGTTTCATCTACCACCAACCCCAATTAGATTGAGATAAAGGTATTGTTGATGTTGATTTTCCTTAAGCAAAGATCCGGTCATACTCCATCACAATACCTTCTAAACTGAAGGTAAACGGCATCTGTCTGTCAGTGAGTATGCATGTGCGCTTCCATGTCTATGTGTATGTGTGTGTCAGAGAGAGAGAGAGAGAGAGAGAGAGCAATAAAAGGAAAGAAGAATATAAGCATCATATTACGGGAGGCCCTAAAGTAATAATTATTGAATTAAAGCATCATAATATTCAAATAATCTCCTACCTCAATAAACAGCCAATCACTAATTTCTCTAATCTGACACTGTCATTTAGTTGTCAGGGATCAAGGTCCTAAAGTAATAAATATATTGATTAAACCTAAAAAGAAAAAAGAAAAAAAAGAAGTGAAGCCTCACCCAGGATTCTTTGATACAGCTTTAAATCTATGCATGAATGCCGGCCGAATATCAGGTGGAGTATCAGCAGACTGATTAACTGGAGATTGTACATATGCTGTTTCAATTAATAATTCTATTAATCGACTTCCCAGCTGCATAGTTTCATAGAGTTCATTCATTAAATTCCATTTATAAAAATAATAGAAAACAATTACACATAGACATTCAAACCAACCTTAGCCTGGGTATCACGACCCCAAGGGCTAAATCCTTCTTTTTTCAATAGAATCTGGACTGGTTTCAGTGTTTTTCTTTTAATCAAACCATTAATGTGTTTCCTTAGTTTTTGTTTATCATTATTCAAACCGTCTTCACCACCAGCCTCTGTTTTCTTACTCCGGTGACTTCTAGTTTTTTCCAGGAGCTTATGAATTCTAACCTGAAATACAATAAGATAATTACAACAGATATATAAATGAAATGAAACCAGTAGAGGAAGGATGCACTTCTTATCTTACATCACTATCAACGCTACATTACAACGACAACAACCAAGAAAAGTGATGCAAAGACATAGCATAGTAGTTAATTGCGCCGCACCAGCGTCGCGAGCCGCGTCGCAAGGGCGTTGCGGTGCCTCGCCGCAAGAAACCATGCCGCACCGGAACGCAATAGCGGCCATTGCGATCGCATTTGCGGCCATATTGCTGTCATAAGGCAAAATGTCAATTTTGTCCTAAATTTAAATGTGTAACAGAAAAAAAATTAAGGGTTTTTTAGTTTATCCGCATCTCTATCTGTCACTTATGTTATCTCTGCCTTTAAAAAATGTTTCTTTTTGTCATTATTTCTGTCATATATCTATTCCGCTATTTCCGCAACACGCTATAACGCTATAGCGTTTTTCGGGGTTAGCCGCGATATGCCGCAATCCGCATTTGATAACTACGAGACATAGAAGGAAACTTCAACAAAACAGAAATTCCTGCCAGTATCTTTTTACTGGGAGAAAACAGTAATGAAAATTCAATGCAAGGCACCACTCAAAATGCATTGGCAAAACCATTAGTTAACATTTAAGTTTTGGGCCACATGTTGTAAACATGCATATAGGCCATTCAGAAATCCCTCACTGCTTATCTTTTTACTATTCTTTGTCCGAACAGGATGAAGAATAAGATTTGGCACTCATGATAAGCTAAAACTCACCCATTTCCCTTTTTCCATTAAAAAAAAAAAAACTTGAATAAGGTTAAAATAAAATTCATTAAAGCCCCTCAGCACTACTACACATAGACTAGAAACTAGGTCAAAAACACATATGCCCAACAGATACTAATAGAGCACCTTGTTTACCATAAATGAAACAATAAAATGAGTAGATAACTCCAGAAAGAGGAGATTCTTATATCATGTACCTCTTGTTCTACAGCCATACCAATCTGAACTGCAGCATTAACAAGCAAAACACAGCCAGCGTGGGAATGCTCAAAAGCCACCAATCCCATCATCTTATGCATGACAATAACAGCCATTTTAGCTGCAGGCAACATATCAATATGGGGCGCAAATGCTGCTTTGTGCTTCTTGGACCTCAGTGACTTCTGCTCCGCTTCTATAGCTTCCTTAAAGGGCTCAAACCACCCCAAAAAAAGAGCCTTGACATGAGGCAAATTGGGAGCCAAGTTCTTCTCACGCATTTCTCTTTCTAGTTCTCTATACTCCTCTACCATCCTCTCCCACGCTTCAGTCTCCTCTTTAATCTGCCTCCTCCTCAGCAAATTGTACTTGTTCTTCTCAATATCCTCCAATACCAATCTACATTCTTGCATCCAAGGTGGGTCCTGGATGAGAATATTCTGGGGTGGTTTAGGGGCCTCTATTTGATGAACCCCATTAACGGGTGCATGACAAATCTCGAGGTCTTGGACGAAATTATCATTGATTGAGTCTGAGAGAAGATGAAATTTAGTTTTCGGGGAGTTGGTGGTGAGTGGAAAAGAACAAGTGGAGGTACTTGGGAGAAAGAGAAAGTGAAGGTTTTTATGAGATTGGGATTTTCTTTGAATGGGAAAATGGATTCCCCTAGTACTAGTGTTGTGAAGCTGAGAGCTCAATGTCATTGTGAATGCAAAACTATTCTATATGGCTATGAGCATCACCAATCAGTTCCTTGTTATGGGTGGAGAGACAGAGAGAGAGAGAGAGAGAGAGAGAGAGAGAGAGAGAAACCTTCGAAGGAAGAGGATGTATCATAAAACCTTAAACCTCTCTACTACTCTTCATGTCTTTATTCGAAGTTTTATTTTTGTTTCTTCTCAAGGTCGTGTTTGGTTCGGAGAAAAAAAATTTCACTAGGAAAATAAAATTATTAAAAAAATTGTTGGAAAATGATTTTAGTAGAAAAGTTTAAAAAAAGTTATTTGGTACGCGAAAATATTACTGAAGAAATTAAGTTAAATTTTCTGAGTGTGTATTTGATTGTAGTTAAAATATTGATGAGAAAATTGATTAAAAATACTAAAATACCTTTTTTTTTTTTTTTTACTTTTTGAATGTGAATTACTGTTGGATATTTTAATGTGAATATACTTCCCCTTTTTGCTCCAGACAACCACAAATACTATCTCGAAATTATCTTTCTAAACAATGTTTTTTGCAAGCAAATTTCAAATGCTATGCAAATGTGGTGTTGTGAGAAAACAATTTTCTCCACCAAACATGACTTGCACCGTTTCCCAACCTCAAATGCATAGGAAAATATTTAGAAACCCTGAACCAAACGCTACCTTAATTAAATTCATTCATTTTTGAAAAAAAAATGAGAATATAGATGCCTAGCTAGTGGAGAAAATTATAGTAATAAGCTAAAAAAATGAAATTGTGGGATTAGGATCTGATTAAGTTCCATTTTTATGTAAACAAAATAAAATTGTTTACAAAAAAATAAAATAACAGTCTCTGAACACTTAGAGCTGTCGTGGGCTCAATCTATTCGGGCTTGTCCTTTGTGAATCATGGCATTTTTTATTTGGGCTGAGGTCTGTTAATATTCTTTTGCACACTCACAATTTGTCAATCCAATTTTGTTGGCCTTGCGCCAATCAAGCTGGCACAATAACGTATTTATTTTATTTTATATTTTGTATTTCATAATTAAACAAAAAAAATTCACATAACTATAATATTCATGTATCATCCTACATTAGCATATTAACATACTTGCCACCACTGTCACTATTATGTGTCCAGCCCATTGCTTAGAGTTATTACTTATTAGAGAAAGTGTCTGCCCCAGTTTTAGGACAAGAAGCTACTTTGAGAACATGTCTACCCCAATTTTAATATTTCTCTTATTGTAAAAAATAAAATTATTTCTTATATACACATAAAAGAATGTATGGCTTATATTTTTGTTCCCTCTCTTTTTTTTACATGGTCTCACATGAGCTCTACATATTTTTATATATGTGTAGGAGATAAAACATCAAACCCATTTTCCCTCGTCTAACTTTTGTTTCAAAAACATGTCCAACCCAATAACCCGAGGGTGCGACTCATCCTTTCTTTGATTATGCAGCTTGACTTTAAACCCAAACATAATTTTTTTGGGTGAACTGAGTTAGGCCATATAATAAGATTGCCCAGTTACTTTGCAATTTAAAAATACTAATTGATTATGTTTGTGAGCTAGCATTTGCTCAACCTAATTTCTTATGGATAAATTCATTGAATCTTTGCCAAACATGTTTACATGCTAATTTAATTAGTATATTTTCATCCACTTCTGCCCTACCAAAAGTAAAAGGACAGCACATTTTCTAGTATTGAACTTCTCTTTTTATGAATTATCCTTCACATATAGAGGATAACTTGCATGATTAGTTATAAACCAGTAAGCATTCAGGCTAATTTTTAGCCATATATACTCAAAGGCGTTATCCTTTCACACATCATATATACTCTTCAATTGACATCAATAAACCAATAATGCTCAAAGCGAACCAAGTATATCACTGCATCCGACAAAAATATCAACATTAACATTGTCAACACACAATCACAGTCCCTTATAAGCGTGCCCATTAACCAAGATTATCCTTGTTAACAGCACAGCATCCACTACTTGAACTCAATCTAAGAAGCAAATGTGCATAATGTTTCATTAATAAAAAAATTGAAAGTTAGGCCTGTTATGCTGACAAGTACATCACGATTTCTAAACAGCGCATAATGTTGCTCATGTGTCACATGTTTAGATACGTAAATTTTAAAGTCAAACATCGTAGGCACCAAACGTACGTTTGGTGCTTCAACGGCAGTTAGGCACAAGGTTCATAATTTTTCCATCATTGCTGCTTCCTTGTGCCTTCAAATTCTTAGTGTGCTCCTCCTTTTATTGAGCTACATTGAACCTAATTTGATACCCGAATTCCTTCATATCCTTTCTCTGGTTTTCAACCTTTCCTTCATTAATTTTCCTTTTATTTTCAGATTGAAAACAAAAAATATTGATTCATGATGTGTTTCTTTAGACTTATTACAATGTTTCTATGTTTCTACATAGACATCGTTCATTCTAGAGTTTATGGGGAAGAAAATGCTGGCCTTATAAATGGTAAAAGTTCACTTATATCATTCATGTCAGGCATTGTTTCTGATCCTGAAAACGCTCTAGAGAGTTGGAAGTCAACGGGTGTTTATGTTTGTGATTGGTCAGGTGTGAGATGCAACAATGCAAGTGACAGGATCATAGAGCTTGATCTCAGTGGAAAGTCACTGGGAGGCACCATTTCCCCTGCTCTTGCTAACCTCTCTTCCTTACAAATTCTTGATCTTTCTGGGAATTTTTTTGTGGGTCACATTCCAAAAGAACTAGGATATTTAGTTCAGCTTGGACAACTAAGTTTGTCTGGGAATTTTCTTGAAGGGAACATTCCCTCCGAGTTTGGTTCACTTCAGAACTTGTACTACCTTGACATGGGAAGCAATCAGCTTAAGGGAGAGATTCCCCCATCACTTTTCTGCAATGTGACATCATTGAGTTACATAGACCTTTCAAACAATTCCTTAGGGGGACAAATCCCCTTGAACAATGAGTGCATCCTTAAAGAGCTTAGGTTCCTCTTACTTTGGTCTAACCAGCTTGTAGGCCAAGTTCCTTTAGCTCTTTCAAACTCCACCAAACTTAAATGGCTTGATTTGGAGTCAAATATGTTGAGTGGAACGCTGCCATCTGAGATTGTACATAATTGGCCACAATTACAATTCCTTTATTTTTCATATAATGACTTTGTTAGCCATGATGACAACACCAACCTTGAACCATTCTTTGCTTCCTTAATGAATTTATCTAACCTTCAAGTACTCGAATTGGCGGGAAACAATCTTGGAGGGAAACTGCCTCATATTATTGGCAATCTTCCTACTAGCTTGCAACAACTTCACCTAGAAGAAAATCTCATATATGGCTCTATACCCCAGCACATTTCCAACCTTGTCAACCTAACATTCTTGAAGTTGTCCAGTAACTTAATAAATGGATCAATCCCTCCCGGCCTATGCCAGATGGGTAGGCTAGAGAGAATTTATTTGTCAAATAATTCACTACATGGTGAGATTCCTTCGACCCTTGGTGACATCCAGCATCTTGGTCTTCTAGATTTGTCAAGAAACAAGCTTTCTGGTTCAATACCAGATAGTTTTGCAAACCTTCCGCAGTTAAGAAGGCTTTTACTTTACGACAACCAGCTTTCTGGAACAATCCCACCTAGTCTTGGAAAATGTGTCAATTTGGAGATTTTAGATTTATCTCACAACAAGATCACAGGGATGATTCCTGCAGAAGTTGCAGCCTTGACTAGCTTGAAACTTTACCTGAATTTATCAAGCAATGACTTACATGGGCCTTTACCATTTGAACTCAGCAAAATGGACATGGTGCTAGCTATTGATGTATCCAAGAACAATCTCTCTGGCAGAATCCCGCCACAACTTGAAAGTTGCATTGCACTGGAGTACCTCAACCTTTCTGGTAACTCCTTAGAAGGCCCTCTCCCTGATTCATTAGGCCAATTGCTCTATATTCAAGCACTTGATGTGTCTTCAAATCAATTGACAGGGATAATACCAGGTTCCCTTCAGTTGTCTTCCTCTCTCAAGAAACTCAATTTCTCTTTCAACAAATTCTCAGGGAATGTCTCAAACAAGGGAGCATTTTCGTCTTTTACCATAGACTCTTTCCTTGGAAACGATGGTCTTTGTGGCCCAATAAAAGGCATGCAACGCTGTCATAATAAGAAACTCAGTTATCATTTGGTGTTCCTGTTATTACCTGTGTTACTATTTGGCACCCCTTTGCTGTGCATGGTTAAATACTCCATGGTGAGGAAGCGATTGGCAATTGTTAGCAGCAGAAGTGACTTGGAAGATGAAGAAGAAGAGGAAACAAAAGAGCTCAAGTTCCCAAGAATTTCATATACACAACTTAGAGAAGCCACTGGAGGCTTCAGTGCTTCAAGCCTAATTGGTTCAGGACGGTTTGGAAGAGTGTACAAAGGAGTCTTGTTAGATAATACAAGAGTAGCAGTGAAGGTACTAGATACAACAGCTAGTGAGATTTCAAGGAGCTTTAGAAGGGAATGTCAAATCTTGAAGAAGATCAGGCACAGAAATTTAATAAGGATCATCACAATTTGCAGTAAGCCAGAATTTAAGGCTCTTGTTCTTCCACTGATGTCAAATGGTAGCCTTGAGAGGCACCTTTATCCAAGCGATGAGTTAAGCCAGAGGTTGGATATGGTTCAATTAGTGAAGATTTGCAGTGATGTAGCTGAGGGAATGTCCTATCTGCACCATTTCTCTCCGTTCAAAGTAGTACACTGTGATCTTAAGCCGAGCAATATACTCCTTGATGATGATCTCACAGCTTTGGTTACTGATTTTGGAATTGCAAGGCTTCTAAAAAGTGATGAGAGTACTTCCATCAGTGACACAGCATCTTTCAGTTCAACAAATGGCTTCTTGTGTGGCTCCCTTGGCTATATAGCTCCTGGTATGCACTCTACGAATTGTGATCCAATATTTTTTAATACTACGGTCAGTATTGTTATTTATTAATGATACTTTTCAGAAACTTGAATATAGAATTTATTGACAAATATTTTTTATGAGACACTACTTATTAGGCAATGAATATGATTCCGAAGTAACTTTTAGTCTCTCTGCTATTTATCAAACAGTTTTGTGCTTTAGAACTCACTATTCTCTCACTTGTTTTTCTTGGATGTGACAGAATATGGAATGGGAAAACATGCTTCAACTGAGGGTGATGTTTACAGTTTTGGAGTACTTGTGTTAGAAATAGTGACAGGTAGACGCCCCACAGATGTTCTCATCCATGAAGGCTCTAGCTTGCATGAGTGGGTTAAGAGACAATACTCAAACTCACACAAGCTTGAAAACATTGTTGAACAAGCACTGCAAAGGTTTTCTCCTTCTGGGGTGCCAAGCCATCATAACAAAATTTTGCAAGATGTTATATTGGAACTCGTTGAGCTGGGGCTACTCTGCACACAGCACAATCCTTCAACAAGACCAAGCATGTTGGATGTAGCCCAAGAAATGGGGATGTTGAAGGACTACCTCACTAATTCAACCTTTCTTCTCATTGAAGATGATTCCAAGATTAATTCTTTCTGCAGTGAAGATAATTTAGTTGAAAAGTAAATAGTTAATTAAAAAAGTCCCAAGTTTTTTTTTTTTTGGTTGAGTATGCGTTGAAATGATTGTGTTCTAATGTGAGTGAAACATGCGGTTGAACATTTTTATCACTTTGAGAAAACCGCTATACCATGATTGGTTGCTAGCTTCAGTAGGTAAATTTGTCCTTGGCAGAGATCAAAAGCAAGATTACGTAATGAATGCTTATCACTTGGTATGCCAGATATCAACCTTCAATTAACATAAAGTTAGAGACAGTGATGCTTGACTCAGATTATTATATTACAGTGAATGTCACCGTGCGTTAAGTAAAAACTTAAAAGCCAATTGGCATAACGATTTCTGTTGTCTTTCTGCAACACTCACATAGGAGTTGGGTATCAAAGCACTGTGAGTTGTGACACGAGATTCAAAGCAAGGAAAAAAAATAAAGAATCGTTACCCCTGACAAGTTTCTCATTCCATTGTGCAAGTTGAGGTCAAAGCAATGCTATATCCAAACCTCTATCTTTATACTTTCTTTAAGCCATGTTGTGCTATTAGGCATTGCGGTGATACAATGAAAGTCAAAGGGAGGTATTATTAGGAATTTATGTTTCACGTTGGTTTAAGAGTGAATCTCTCGCTTTTATTTTATCTGATAGTAAATACCATTTTCGGTGATGAAGCAAATTTTACGTTATCCGTTTTAGTTTTTATTAAATAAAAAGTGTATTCGTGGTCTCTAAGAAATTTAAAGTGGTTATTCAAAAAAAAGAAAAAAAAGAAATTCAAAGTGGATCTATTTTAGTCCTTTTAAGGGACTAATGTGGGTTTTTTTGAATTTGTAAGGGATCACGATTTCAACTAAACAGGTCAATTTTGAATTTCTTAGGGACCACAAATAGTCTTTTTATTTGCTAGGAACTAAAGCGAGCATTTTTTTTGAATTTTGTTGAGGACCAAAAATGATATTTAATCTTTAAATTAAGATATGGTGTTGCAAATGTCCATGTTATGCAGAATTCTAATTCCTCTGCTATTTATTAGTCTAGAATTATGCTTAATTGTTTTTTTTTAAAGATAAACCACAAGTATCATTCACGGGAGTCAATCCTGTTGAGGGCAGCTCTAGGATTAAAGCTTTAAACTCCTTCCAAAGATAGTAATGGAAATGATCGAATACATATTTTCACCCCACCTGCTCAACTCTCATGCATCAACTAAGCTACCATCATTTGGTTGCTCATTTGTTATTCAAGTTATTATATAATTCAATTTTTAATTATTATTTTTAACCACCAAACATGTGGAACTTCTAAGAAATTGTGTTTTCAGCTTAATTAGTAATCTCGAGTATTAACGAGCAAAGTTACCATCTCAGCTCGCATGATATAAATAAACAATTATAATTCTTAGTATAGCAAGCATAGAGGTAGGTGAAAATGGTGTGGAAATAGATTTATTTAGTCATAAAAACACCATAAACTACTACTTTTAGGTCGTGGGGGGGTGGGACTAGGGTTTCTGATTTCTCAAGTTTTGTCTTAGATGAAAACTAGGAACATAGGATGTTCCTTACAAAAAGTCTCCACTGTTTCTTAATCATTCTCCACTTGAAAAGCCAGAATTAAGAGCGCACAAAAATAAAATATATGCTGCCTAAAGGCCCTCAAGGGTCTGCTATCTTTACAACGTTTAATTACGTCATGCCCATAAAAATCTTTTTTGAGTAGTGGGCGAAGATGTTTAGCAGGTCTTTTGATCAATAAGCATCCCAGAAACCTTATAATTGAGCAAAAGCTACAGAAAGAATAAATTTGAACCATGCCAAAAGAGATTTCCTTTTGAGAAGAATAAAAATTGCTAATCCAAGAACACTGTTTTACCCACCAGGGCCACTTGCTGACATAGTGCAAATTGCAAAATGAAGTAACCTTTTACTTCTATCAACTTCAAACTCGGGTTGCTTTTAGTGTCCAGGTTACCAAGATAAACTAAAGCAGGGCAAATCAATAATACATACGTAATTTACGCAAAATAGAAAATAATAATTTCGTAGCAGAAGTATACAACCTTCCTAATGTAGATAGATAGATAGATACGAGATATTTCTACATAAATCTATCTGGTAAAATTCCAATAATTGAAGTTCATATTAGCTTTATCATAAATTGTTTAACAACTTTATTGAATCCTTGCCATTTCATCCCAATCCAAGTGCATCACGCATCTTCTATGGACATTTCATATCGTGGTTTGAAATCATCATTGGGATTTTCCAAGAGAGTACCATTTATTGAATTCATGAATTGAAGCATTATTTATAATCCGCTACCATTTTGAGTAATGACAGGTTGATTTATTAGCGATAGAGGTATATGATGCAACAATTTCCTTCAGCGTGTTCTTCAATACTAGTATTTTATAAAATAGTGCAGAACCCTAATAAATAAATAAAATAAACAAGGCTAGGTACATGCACCCGCACCTAGCGGCTCTTGATCTTCATGCTGCTAGAAAATCTTATCAATAGAGAGTTAGAGACTGAGTTAGGTATCTATGCACATGATATAGTTTGTGTAAAAATATTATCTCCTATCATGTTAGCAGGACCATAACTGCCAAAGGAGGAAATAATAAGGTTAACTGTGACAGTATCTTCCTTCATGTAACATGATAAACAGTTGAATGATATGCTAAATGTTATCATAAGCTATTGCTTTAATTTTCTCCTAAAGAAACAAATTACAGACAAAAGACATAAACTGGACTCGTGTACAATAGAAGGATACTGGCGGCAGTTTTCATGTGGGGCCAGATGATAGCAAAACAAAGTTCTCATCTTTTGTGTATGATGTTGAAGTTATAGGGGTTTAGGTACAGGTGGAAAAAAATAGAGACTCGATAATATTGTATTTGTATCTTGATATAAGTAAAGAATCAATTCAAACCAAAAATTTAAGTTGTTAGGTGAAGCTACATTAATGATTTATACTATTCTAACATGCCTCCTCACACGAGAGTTCACTGAGCTTGAAGGATGGATAATACACAAGTCCACTTACCTATGCTAAAAAACTCCACAAGACTTGATTAATTATTAATTAAATGAGGGGTGAGGATCGAACCTGGGCTCTGCTACCATGTTAAGAACCAATTCAACCCAAAAGCTAAGTTCTCGACTCGTCCAGATCTTAGACCGGACGAAACACTGTCACACTGCCTCCGAGTCTGAGGGTAGATGACACAGTGGGGGCTCGAGGGAGGGCTTCAACCTCCTTCCTTTAGGGTTCCCAATCCAAAGGTAACAACCGTAGCACTCAAAGGAGCTTGGGACTAAAAGGTCTTAAGTTACTTACTTTTGGGTTCCGCTTAGGGCCCTGAATCGGGAACCCCTAGAGGAAGGAGGTTGACTCCCTCCCTCGAGTCCCCCACTACGTCATCTACCCTCGGACTCGGAGGCAGAGTGTGGCAGTGTTTCGTCTGGTCTAATAACCGAATGAGTCGGGAACTTAAGCTTTTGGGTTGAATTGGTTCTTTACATGGTATCAGAGCCTCTATGTCACGAGTTCGATCCTTATCTCCCCCCATTTAATTAATAATTAATCAAGTCTGGTGGAATTTTTTAGCACAGATAGGCGGGCTTGTGCAGTGTGCTTTCGTGTGAAGGGATATGTTAAAGTATAATACAAACCATTAAAAAGACCATCACCTAAAAACTTAAGCTGTTAAGTGGGGCTACATTAATTGTTTTTATACTTCTCTAACACGCTCCCTCATACGAGAGCCCATTGGGCTTAAAGGGTGAATAATGCACAGGTCCACCTACATGTGCTAAGAAACTCCACAAGACTTAATTAATTATTAATTAAATGAGGTGGTGAGGATCGAGCTTGTGACACCGAGACTCTAATACCATGTAAAGAAGCAATTCAACCCAAAAGCTTAAGCTATTAAGTGATGGCATTTTTAATGGTTTATACTATTCTAGCACACCCCCACACATGAGAACCCACAGGACTTGAAGGGTGGATAATGCACAGGACCTCCTACCTATGCTAAGAAACTCCACAAGACTTGATTAATTATTAATTAAATGGGGGAAATGAGAATCGAACCCATGATGTCGAGGCTCTGGTACCATGTAAAGAACCAATCCAACCCAAAAGTTTAAGCTCCTAACTCGTCCAAATCTTAGACCGAACAAAACACTGCCACACTCTGCCTCCGAGTCCGAGGGTAAATGACGCAATGGGGGCTCGAGTGAAGCCTCCTTCCTCTAGGGGTTCCTGATTCAGGGCCCTAAGCGGAACCCAGAAGTAAGTAACTTAAGACTTTTCAGTCCTAAGCTCCTTTGAGTGCTATGATTGTTACCCTTTTGGGCAACGTTTGGGTGTCCCTGGATTTGGAACCCTTAGAGGAAGGAGGTTGAAGCCCTCCCTCGAGCCCCTACTGTGTCATCTACCCTCGAACTCAGGAGGCAAAGTGTGGCAGTGTTTCGTCCGGTCTAAGATCCGCACGAGTCGGGAGCTTAAACTTTTGGGTTAAATTGGTTCTTTGCAATATAATACAAAGTGATTGATGTGATAAGAAGTGAATTAAAAGACAAAATAGTAAGTTCTATTTATACTAAATTGTAGACTTCTAAAATAAGAAAATAAATCATGAAATATATATAAGTAAAGAAACTAATCCTAAGAAATCCTCCAGTGTAATCTAAACTATTTAAGATATAATCAAGATATGATATTTTGAGACTTTTTTAAATGAGGATGGGAAAATGTTATGTCTTTAAACGATGGTGAACTCAATTACCAATGTTAATTCAATGGTTAAAACATTCCAAGCAGCAAATAAAACTAAGGAACTTTACAATAGCAGCATACAACTCTAATCTAATGTACTTAACAAAAAGAAGCATAGAAAGAGCAGGAAACATGGGACGTTAAGGAAAATGGGCTTGGACTCCAGTGCAGAAACAACTGGATTGGGCTTTCTGAGAATCTTATGGAAACATAATAGCATCCTTCAAATATCCCAGACTTTACCCAGACAACTAGGAATGAATCCAAATAAAAAATTTGGATCCACTACAATATTTTCTATTTTCTATTGACGCATTCAGTTGGCATTATCATCCGTTTCCAAAAAATAAAAGAGAGAGAGAGAAGGAAACAGAGCAAGATATGTATAACGAAGTATTTATTGGAGATGATTGGCGAAATAGCCTTTAAATCTGTGTTTATTGTGTATCCGTTAAGCAAAACTTTCTTCATCAACTGAAGGCACAATCAAAAGTCAGTGTTATGGCATTTCTCAGGCAAAGAATTAGCAAAAGGAGCTGTGAATCTATAATGACAAATCTCGTGAATTTTCTCTTACTAGTGATATAACCAGCATTGTCAAGTTAGAAAAATAGAATAAGCATTAAGGTTCTACTATTAGAAAGAAAATCAAGGAATAGCTCATGAAACATTTATTTCCTTTAAGTTCAAATATAAGGGCCAAAAAATAAAAATAAAAACACCATATAACATCGATTTTGCAAGACATTGTTAATCCACCGAGTCATGTGTACAAATCACCATATTTAACCACACAAATTTCAAATCACCATCATACTAGTGCCCATTGTATAATATGGAATTATGTAAAGGTATACATTCTTCAGTAACTAAAATTGAGCTCAGAAGATCTATTCTACCTGCCTTTACCGCACACACAATCTTCTTTTTGGACAAAGCATACATACCTCCACATGGTGCACTGAGTTAATTAATCGGTTGTCTGAGATGGTCATTCTGTAATTACTTGATCAAATCCAAAAGCTTAACATTGCCTGTTCATAGAAAATTGAAATCTCTTATTTCAAAGGTAGGTGAAGAACACAAATAATTCAAGAAACAAAAGCTCGTCCCAATTATCCCATACCCTGAAGAAAACCTTCGGTACAAGTACAACTATTGCAGGTACATCCAATACTAAAAGGGGGGAATTTTTAGAACATAAAGGAAATTATAAAGAAAAGCAAGAGTTAAAATTGAATTTTTTTTCCTTTTTTGGTAAAAGGGAGTACCGAGTTAGGTACTCTCGTAGCATTAACGAAATTTCCCATACCCTGAACCCCACATGTAAAATATTATCCAACAATAACTAGCATCAATATGGGAAAATCAAGGAAAGGAGAAATTTGCAGGCAACAGGAAATTATTTTCTCAAAAGAGAAGGCAAAAGCACCAGTGTATACATTACCTCTTGAAGAGGACCCAAAGGAATATCCTCCTTAGTTGCAGCATTTTTGGTTTTCCAGCTCCTCATCTCTGATTGTATTGATTTGATTTCATTGTGTATGTCCTTCAACAACCTCAAATGCTCTTCCCCATCCCCTTCATGCGTAATCTCTTGCCTTGAACTAACTCTCTCCCTCTCAAGCCGATCAATTCTTTGATGCAACTTCCGAAACTCAGCTTGAGTATTGCAATCCACATCCATCCCTTCTTTTTTCTGCCAAACAATGGTCTTCATATCTTTGGGACTAGGTAATTTGCTTTCATGATGTGTGCTAAGCTTGCTCTTTATCTTGTCCATGTCATGTTTAACATGTGATTCTATGATTTCCACAGACACCGAGTCTGGTTTTGTTAACCTGTTATCTGCATCTGAAATCCATTTCTCAAGTCTTTTTTTCCCATGTTCACTGACTTTATGCTTTTCACTAGTTTGTGGGACTTCAAATACATCATGGACATTAACCGAGCCGGAGGGAACTCTATCCTGTGTACCTTCACGATGATTTAGTTTATCTGAATTTCTAGGGGGTAGTCTATCTGTTTGGTCACAGGCTATCTCAATGCTTGCTTGTGAAAATAGTGAACATGAAACCCCTCTTCTACTTCTCAGGTTTGCACATTTTTCTCCTCCTGATTCTTTACAATCTGAAATCACTTTCACTTTTTCATCTAACCTTTTGATCTGGTTCCAGTATGAATCAAGGGTTCCATACTCATAGTCTATGGACTTTCTTGGCAAATCCAAGCTTGTGGAAGTAACTTCCTGGTCACTGCTATCCACCATTCTTGGAATGACATCTGGAACTGGAACTGGAATGGGACTAGATGATCTTTCTCTCTTTCTGGGAGCTCTCAAGGTATTCTTAAACTGAATTGGAGGCAATGAACTTAGCCTTCTTACAGTGCTACTTTGACCATTTTCTTCATTGTTTTGATCATTTGTAACCACCAGCAGGTCTTCAGGAAATTCAAACTCACTTGCATTGAAATCACACCCCAAGCTCAGAAGTTTGTGTTTGTAAGCCAGGACTTGAAACTCGAGAGAAGCAATTTCCATTTCCTTCTGATACATAAGGTCTTCAAAAATTTCAAGAGTGGCTTCAGCATGATCGATCTTCTCCTCTGCCATTCTCTTATAGTGACTCGCCTCCATCTTCACCGCAGCCTTTTCTCCTTGCAAGCGCAGTATCATGTCCATAGCTTCACTTGCTGCAGTTGCCGAGGCTTCTCTTTCCTGATCCAGCTCCGCATACAGCTTCTGCAGAAGTTGTTGTTGGGCACGAAGTGTATCCTTCATGGCTATTATATCCCTTTCAGCCATGCTGGTTTCTACCATGCCACAGTTGATTGAATTATTAAGCACTCACTTATTCCTGAACACAGAAAGTAGCAATCTTATTCCCTTTTTTTTTTTTTTTGCCCCCCAAGAATGAGATCAATTTCATTAATAAATGAACAGGATGGCTCTAATGATGAATGTGAAAAAGAAATCAAGTTTTTCAGATACAAGTCATTGATATTTTACCTTAATGAAACTGCGCACTAAAGAGGAATGGCGTTTCACAACCGAAAGTAAATGAGAACAAGGTTATCTATCTATCTATCTACCTATCTGGTGATCACAAACAAATTGAGGCAAATAGAAAATCTCAAAGGGAAAACTTTTGTTTTTACCAGAAAAGGTAAAAAGAGCTTACCCTTCAAGAAACACAGATGCATCTCACCTAAGTCATGAAGCAGATAGGTGTTTGGTGAAAAAAAAATAAAAATGAGAAAACGTAAGAAAAGGGTGGCTTAGTATGCACAGCGACATGTTACATAACTATACAAAACAATCAAATATATTGAAAATAAATCTACCTAGCAAGGTTACAGAACACAACCAAGAAAAAGAAAAAAGAAGAAATGAAACCTTTTTTTTTGTGCTGGGTTTTCAGTTTTTTTTTTTTTTTTCAGTTAGAGGACGCACCCCTGACCCGGATTACAAGGAGAAGAACAGAGAGCGACTTTCGTTATGTACAGTTATTAGACAAAATCATAATCCATTAACGTTTATGTCTTGTTATTATTATTCTATTAAATTCTCTCAATCAGGCGCTGATTCATCCTTTCGTTGTAGGGCCCATGTCTCTTCTCTTTTCCCGCAAGTGCTTGTTACTCGTAGGTAGTCCCTTCTTTTCGATTCTTTTTTTTTTTTAAATAATTTTCATTTTGGGGTTTCAAAAAGTCGTTTTTTCGAGTCAAAAGCATCGTTTCCAACGGCTACAATGAGTCAATGAGGCACAGCCACGACCACCTCATTTGGAGTGTATTAATTCTGTCAAGTCAACTCCAACACGCGCATGGATGACCCCTCATGCTGTTGCACTCCTCATGCTTCAAACAGAATCATTACGATAAAATTTAAATGGAAAATTTTAGAAATCTAGTAATATTCTTTAATCAAAATATCATATGTGAACTTTTTTATAATTAAATTATGAAAATTTTTAACAAAAATGAGGTGATGAAAAAATAATAAATTTATTATATTTTATTGAAAAATAACATCACAAAAAACTTTATATAAGTTTGATCATAAATGTATTTCTTTCTATCTCTAAATATAAATAAAGATTGCATTCTAGGTAACAATGACACGTTTTTTAAAATATTTCATTCGCTTCAGCTATTTTATATTATTTCCAATCCATTATTACAAAGAAATTCAAGTGCTCAGTTTTATCTTATCCTTTGACCAGAGACAGGTGATATTCTCATTATATTATCTTAAATTCTTATCGTAATACTTTAATATATACTTTGGTTGCACTGTGTATTCTAGGCAGGGACATGCTAGGGAGGTTTTTCCTTCTTAATTAGAAAAAAAAAGGAGTTATCTATTTGTAAACCAAAAATATAAATTTAAGACATGCACCTTTTTATTTAAATTGAACAATGTGCAACCACTTACTAAATACTTCAGTAAAGTTTGGACTTCAATAAGCCTAAAGCAAACATAACTAACCTGTTAAAAGTGTAACGTTATTGAAAATTATGTAGCTCGTTATAAATATCGTTTCTAATTTTATCGAATGCTCTGAAAAGCGAATTATGTAGTAACTATCACATTGATGTTTGTATCGTAAAGTCTTGCATGGCAAAATTTGTCCTGATAGGTGCTCTGGGTATCTGTAATCTGAGAGGGAAAAGGAAACGTGGGAATTTATTTAAAAAAATCCAAGTGAGTTACATGAAATACAACCTTCCAAATCCAGTTCAAAAAAGTATAAATTATCAAACATTAAAACTTCACAGCAAACCTAGGCCCTGTTTGAATTCTGTTTCTAAAAACAGTTTTTTAATTTTCAGAACAAAAAAAATTGTTTGATAAAATCTATTTTGTAAAATAAAAATAAAAATTGTAACTCTTTTTTGGTTTTTAGAATTATATTTAGAAAACATGTTTTAGACGTTTTTGTTTTGTGTTTTGACATTTAACTTTCAAAACAAAAAAAATACAGAAAACACTTGTTTCCATAACTATTCTACAAAATAGTTTTAAGAACAAAAAAACCAGAACACAATCAAACAGACCTTTAATAGTTGACCCACCAACAAGAAAATATTTTCGTTAATACAGATGTACCGAACATTCGGTACATCGTTTATTAAATATGAAAAAAAATAACATATTTACACTACTCCTACCTTTATAGGTATTTCCTTTTATATCCTCTTTTTTCTATTTTGGAAAAGGAAATACATATCCTTTCTGTGCTCCACCAACAACAACAACAAAAAAGCTCATATTTACTTAAAACATTATTTCCAAAAAGAAATAACCAATGCTGAATGCAACTTGTTAACAATTATATCATCCATAATTTTGTTTTGAAGTAATTAAACTCTCAAAATATAATCTATCATCCACTAAGTGTGTGTTTGGGAAAGATTAATTCTGGGAAAATAATCGTTTTTTCTTTGAAAAGCTCTCTCAGGAAGCTAATCCAAACACGCAATAAGAGGAAGAACTAAATACCAGAATCAATAATCTCCTTCATCAAACTCAAAGGAAAGCAGGACAGCGAGTTCCTTTTTTTGTATATTATACTCTAGGGCAATTTTTATCCTCATTCTAATCCACATGAACCTCAACTTCCATCTTCAAACCCGAATTGCCAAGAATCTATCAACAAAAAGGGACGGTCATGCATTTCTCATATGAAAGATGGCACACTAACAAATATCAAGCAGATAGCAGTGTTTAGTGATGCATGGTATAAAACCAGCATGAGTGTGAAGATGCATGACCCTCAAACAATTATGAGCGTGAATTCAGTTGTAAGACCCTCAAAAAGTCATGAATGTGAAAAAGCAATGCTCATTGTCAAAGACAAGAATAAGTTTTTTGCTAATTATGACCTATGTTTCAAATGAAGATACTAACGTTGGTTTAACACATTGACAGTAAAGATAGTCAGTGACCTTGCCACTGCAAGCTAATGTATTATGCAATCATATAGACAACTTTACCTGCTAATTATCAGGATAAATCATCATAATAGAGCTCCAATTTGACATCATTAATTCATCATTATATCAATACTTACTTTCCTTCCTCAAAACTCTGTTCATTAATGGTTTTAGGCATTGAAGGAATTGATTACGATCATAATAGATATGAAAGGGAAATAACAAAAATAATAAAATGAAAGATTCAATGCACTATCCCTTAGTTGCCACTTTCCTATTAAAATGTTTATCTAAATTAAACTTAAGAATTCCAGCGCAGAAAGTCATGCTAGATATTAGTTGTTTCAGTACCTTCATGAAGTCAGACAAGACTAAAAAAGAATCCTTTTCATAGCCAGCTTCCTCAAGAACCTGTGTCAGAACTTCCTGTATGTTCGAAGGAAACAGAATACATCAGAGGCGTTATAAGCAGATTGCAAATCATCCTTCATTAGCATTGGCAATTGAAGTGTGAGGAAATAATATCAACAAAACTGATATTCTCCAACAAAATGTCTGTTCCCATCTTTCATTTACATATTTTCAAATACAAATATATACACAGATAATACGTTTCATATAAATACTTTTCTTGGTTAAGAAAGCATACAATTCTATGCTTTTTTTTATAAGAAAATAATTGATGAAAATTTCTTTATCCTGGTAATACATGCAATTTGCAAGCTAGGAAACACCCTTTGCCTTATATTTTTAAGGGATGAAAAGTGCAATTAGACCTAAAAGTGCAATTAGTTCCTTGAGATAACATATTGTCTTTTGCTTAGTTTTCCAGATTATCGGAGTATGATGTTGAGATATATAGTCCCACATTGATTAGATAGACAATTAATATGGCCTTTATAAGGCCTTGGGCACTCCTACCCCTTGAGCTAGCTTTTGGGGTGGTGACCTCAAGGTTCTTTACATGGTATCAGAGCCTCACCGTCCCCCCGCTTTAAAAAAGTGGAATTAAAATAAAAAAAAAAAAGCACAAAAAGGTAAACCAGAAATGGGCCTGTGCAATTTCCACGCTTCTAGCCTAAAGGGCTCTTGCGTGAGGGGGCGTGTTGAGATATATAGTCCCACATTGATTAGATAGACAATTAATATGGCCTTTATAAGGCCTTGGGCACTCCTACCCCTTGAGCTAGCTTTTGGGGTGGTGACCTCAAGGTTCTTTACATATGATTTCATAAATTGGTCCACACTCTTCTTATATCCAGTCTTATTACTGGCATTGTTGATCCCTTGAATAATCAAATTCCCAAAATCGCTTTCAATGGAACAAAATTAGACAGTAAAAGTTCAAGCATTTCCCTTGATGTAATGTTACGTGGGCAAAATAATAAATGAGAACATGTGTATTCTGTTGAAAGGCTGAATTCCTATATAGAATGCAGAGAACAAATAGAAAATTACAACATAGCAGAAGCAGAAGAGAGTTGTAATTTAATGTGACCTCTCTCTGTTGTTCAGACATAAATTGTCCAGTCAAATCTCTTAAAGCCCTCAACATGTCATGGAAAGTTACTTTTCCATTGCAGTCCGTATCATATACCTTGAAAATGACTACAAAACAAGCACCACAACCCTATTGATTTTTGTTTCTGCAGGCATCGAATGAATTTAAGAGAAAAAAAAAAAAGGCATTTCATATTGGATATTAAATATATTACATTGAATTTTGTGTTGAAGAGTGGCACGGGGACTGAAGGCGGACAAGAAGGCCACGAATTCCTTGAAGTTCAAGCCATCCAGCATCCTCAACAAGCTCTGTCATATGATTAACACTCAATTGAATCACTCATTGGCATTCTAATTTCCAGAGAGAATTGTTGGCATTCATTATTTAAACAATTAAACCAAGGAACATCAATAATTTTATATAATGAATTATATATTTCTCTAGTATGCGCCCTTACATAAGAGTCCATTGAATTTAAAAAGGTAGATAATACACATGCTCGTAACAAACTCCACATGATTTAATTAACTATTAATTAAATAAGGGGCGACACTAAACTTTTAATATCATGTAAATAACCAGTTAAACCAAAAGTTTAAGCAGTAGAGTGAGGTTACTTAAATGGTTTTTTATGTATCTCTGACAAGAATGAAAAAGAGGGAGAGAGACCTGAGAGAGAGGGTTAACGGCGAATTCGGGGATGGTGAGGAATTCATCGGAAGGAATGAAACCACAGTTATTACGATCGAGCTGACAGAACCGATTGTATAGAGAAACAATCTCCTGCTGCGTGACTACAGTACATACACGCCGATCAAAACAAAAAAATAAAAATGAAAATGAAAATGAAATGAAATGAACAAGTACAAGTACAAGTAGGAACGATGTTAAGTTTAGAATTACATGCGTGTTTGCAATGTTCCTGGACCTCTTCGATGTCGTACTGGGTCAGCATTGAGGATGTGTTGCCCATCGCCACCAACAAGATTCAACTCAGACACAATACAAGGAAATGAAACGAGTTATGCATTGTGCCATTCGCCAACCGCCAACCACTTTCTACGCTCACATCAATGAATCAAAAGGTCCATTTTGCCCTTTTGGCTCGGCTCGCATGCCCCTCCCTTATTGTAAATTGGGTGCAAACTTATTTTACTAGCAGCCATTTAAAAAACTTTTGTTCAAGAAGTAATTATATTAAGGGTTTGGTGTTTTGTGATTTTAAATGACATAAGTTATATTATTTTAGGAGAGAGATAGATACAAAAAATAAAAATTATGGGAGAGAGAAAGTGTGTGATTTTTTAAATTTAATTTTTAAATAAAAAAATTATTTTGTGTTTATTTCTCTCTTAAAATGACATAATTTTATGTCATTTAAAATGACAAATACTTTTTCCTTATGTTAAAGCATAGCCCGGTGGGAGTGGATCCTAAATTTCACACGACCTCATATAAAATTTGTGTGTCCTCTCTTCTTCTTTTTTGGTTTCTCAAGGCATCTACCAACTGTGCTGGACTTTGTTGGTGTGGGTCCACTCTTTTTGTTATCTCTTTCTTTAATAATGATAATTACATCTCACTTATTTAATATATGTAAAGAAAGAGATAAATGAGAATGGATCCTGTTATATGTTAATTAATATGATTATATAAAGATGGATCGACGATGATGAAAGAAAAGAGAGAAAAAAATATGAAGATTAGTAATTACAAAATCATCACTATTAATTCTCCTTGATATGGTTAAAATTCCTCTACATGATATGATCATGTTAATTAAAATATGAGAGGGTCTATTTTCGAAATAGACAGAAAAATTTCATATGAACCGGTCATGTGAAATTTTAACAAGAATGGATCCTCTCATGTGGAAAAATGGTCATGTGATCATGTTATTTGATCACAACCACTCATTGATAATGAGATAAGAGAGAAAAATGTGTAATTTTTAAATGAGTGGTTGTAATCAAATAACATGACTACGTGACCACTTTTCCACGTTAGAGAATCTATTTCCAATTTTAACATAAGATGATCTATTCCGTAGCTTGGTATTTATCCATCGTGCATAGTCATGACATTTGATGGATTATAAACTACACTACAAACTAAGGAAGCACCAACACGTGTTTTTTTTGGGGGGGGGGGGGAATGTGTGTCGGACATTGACATTTTCGACATACGTTTGTTTGACACATGGTCAATATTTTTTTGATACGCGATCAACGCTCTAACAAGTGATCAATGTTTTTCGGCAAATTTTTTTTTAAGATCCAAATTTTATTTAGTTTTATCTTTTTAACTAAATATGAAAAATTAATTTATAAATTAAAAAAATTTATTATAAAATTTGACATGAAAAATTAACAATATATGAAAATTTATTTTTGTTTTATATTTATGTTATGGAATTTTAATATTTGGTTAGTTATATAATTTATTATGAGCTGCTATATATATTAAATATAAGCTATATTATATATATTAAAAATAGGAAAAAGTGTTTGTCATTTAAAATGACATAAAGTTAGGTCATTTTAAGATAGAAATAGACACAAAATAAAATTTTTTATTTAAAACTTAAATTAAAAAAATCATTCATTTTTTCCTCCATGATTTTTTATTCTTTGTGTCTATCTCTTTTCTAAAATGACATAACTTATGTCATTTAAAATGATAAACATCAAACCCTTAAAAATATTATTTAATATTAAAATGTATATTAACGTATGACGTATCTTTTCGTATTCCGTATTAATGTCAATATAGCTGCAAAGTACAAACTACCACAATTTACAAAAAAAAAAAAAAGTACAAACTACCATTTCATGACGGTGTGTACGTTGTGTTAAGCGCAGTAAGACCGCATACTTATAGTCATACAGTGCAAGCAATCTGATAAAATTGTGGACACTAACTAAGCACAAGTTGCAAGATTTCATATCAGTTAATAATTAGAAAGTACCAATTCAGGTATAAAATTTAAAATGACAATCAGTGCAAGTAATTCTCTTTTCTGATTTTTGAGCCTCGGCCCACCCAGATAACAAGACCATGATTTGCACCCCGCTTAGCAGATTCTACCATTTATATGACTTCAAGGGCTGTTTGATCTCAATAGGGTTTCTGAAATTCCATTTTTCTGGTTTGGTATCCGTGATAATTTATTTTTCACATGGGAGTACTAAGTGCTTGTTTGATTTCACTATATTAGCCATATTAGCCATAAAAAGAAGGGAAGAAGGGATGAAGACATAGATTTGGTTCAACAAATGTGAGCTATATTAGCCATATTTCACTATATTCACAGACTCTATTTATCAGGAGAATATAAACACGTTTAGAAATTCTAAGCAATGATAGTTAGTCATGTATCATCTAACTACGAAGTATAAGCCATAGTGACCAATGTCGTTAAGATCAATAAATTTGTGAGGGGGTAAAAAATCGTAAATCAAAAATTTAATACGGATAGTAAGATCGTACTTATGCATATAAAATATTAAAATCATATGAATGATCAAATTATTCATCATGTAATCACATTATATTGAGCTTTTTATTTAAAGTAAAAAATAATTTATCACATAATCCTTAATTGATAATTTTTTAATTTTCTAGTTAAGTATAAAAATATATATTCTTCCATTGTTACAATTTTATTATTTTTAATATACTATTATTATATAGTTAAACTTAAATCAATATGTTTACCTGGAAAAAAATTAAATCAATATTATTATAAATTATTATACTTAGAGTGAATTCTATAAAAAAAATAATTAAATAATATTAATAAATAAGTGTTCATGTTCATCATACCCTCACCTCAACGAATAAAGACACTCGTCCTTTACCCCAAAAAAAAAGAGAGACTCATCAAACTGAAGAGCTTTGTGCTCACACACACACAGCAATGGCAGCAGTTTCATGCTCATGGCTTACCTTTCTCTCCAAAATGAGGAACATTTCCCTCACTTCCTCTTTTTTTTCCTCTGCTTCCATCTCTAATTCCACTTCTCGGAGTTTCTCCAAAAACCTTTTTCACACTGTCCTTTTACAAGGTACCATATCTCTCCTGCTTTGTGTTGTCTTTGTTGCCATTTTTGTTTAATGGGGTTTCACTTTTCTTACATGATTTCGGCTCAGAATGCAAAAAAAAATGATTTTGTTGGAGTTTTCAATTATGGATCTATGTTGTTTTTGTTTCGGGTAGAGGTGGCAAAGTGGGAGAGCCGGCCCGACCCACTATTAACCCGCCAAAAAATGAATTAGCCTAGGCGGGGCGGGACGGGGTTGGCCCGCCGAGCCGAGCCGAGCCGAGCCCGTTTTGCCGGCCCTAGTTTCAGGTAGTAGCTTGTCAGAGAGAAGATGGTGATAGACTGGTGTGAGCTATGTTCAAGTCCTGGAAGCTCTCCTCTCCATCCCCATCTTGCAAAGTTTCCTCTTGTTCTTCACTTTTCAAGGTCTTATCTGTGGATATTTTTCTCCCATCTCTAGTCGTTAGATTCTGATCGTGGGGATTTTTTCATAATCGTTAAAATGGTGGGATCGAGCAATTCCATCGATTGGACAGTTTTACCGTCGATCTCACACGATCTTAGCGGAGGACAATCTCACTAGTGATTTGGATTGCTAGGATAGAAAAAAAATCATAGGATTGTATGATCCTACGATCTTAAACGCGATCTTGAAACCCTTGACAATGGTGGAGCCAGCAAAGTAACTAAGTAAGGGCCAAAAAATGTAGTCAGTGTCAAACACTAAATTTTTGAAACGTTGCTAGCTACAGTTGTTTAGCTATGTCTAAAATGTGGCTAACTTTTAAAAATCAATCGGGGCCAAGGCACGAGCTGTAGCCAACGTGGCTCCGCCATTGATGAGATATACCGAACGTGTTTTAAGTTAGAACAAGTTTTAGGTTAAGACATGGTCGATATCAAATTCCCTTTGTACGATGGGTGTAGTTTATTCCATTGATGATGACCCCCCGCCATAGGCTCTCCTAAGTGGTATTTAGAGCCAACTTAAGTACTAAGGCATGGGGTATACAGATAGGCTTCCATTTTAGGATATTCAAGTGTGATTAAATCTCATATTCATTAGTAATTGACAAAGTGAAATTCATATAAGTAGGAGGACCCATAAGCCCAATAATATAAAGGTTTTGGGTTAAAATATGATGTCAAATCCACTTATTAATATTCGGCTAGCTAGCTTAACCTGTTATGGTAATTCCCTACTCTCCGAGCTTGCATGACACTTCTCTCATACAAAAGAGACCTTAATACTTCTCCATATTGAAGCCTCTGATCACATTTATTTATTAGACACACCTTTCATTTACTAGGTGTTGGGTTATTTAAGTGTGGTAAAGTTCCACATTGGTTGGTAATGAGCTAAGTGTGGTCTATATAAGTGGAAGGACCCATAAACTCAATGTCTTAAGATTTTGGATTGATACATGGTGTTGGAACCACTTGGTGTGATTGGTTTAGCTTAGACAATGGTGGTCCCCGCCATAGCCCCTTTTGGCCCACTTGACAATGGTATTAAAGTTGAGTTGGGCTCGGGCTAGCCAAGTGTTTGGCTGGAGGCGAGTTAAGTACTTGAGCCAGGGGTACACAGAAAGAGGGAAAGTATATCAATGTGGGTTTCATACTTGAGGGAGGGATTGTAGTGTTATTTAAATGCGGAGGAGTTTCACATTTGTTGGTAATAGGCTAAGAGAAGACCATAAAAAGTAGGAGAACCCATGAATCCAATGCCTTAAGGTTTTAGGTTGAGACATGGTGTCGGATCCATTTGTTGTAGTTGGAATAGCTTAGCCCATTGGTCGTAGTCCCCAGCCATGGGCTCTTCCTAGCCTGCCTAGCAATGGTATCAGAGCCGGGTTGAGCTCGGGCTAGCTAGCCAGGTATTTGTCTAGAGGAGGGTTGAGTACTTGAGTCTGGGGTACTCGGTTGATGGGGAG